CTTCATTTCGGTTATTGTGGTCAATTCTTGTTAAGAAAGTCAAGGCTTCTCTGTGCCGTTCAGATGTTTTGGTGTGGTGGGTGCTGTACATTCCACAGCTCTGAGGTCACGGCAAAAAAACATCCTCCAGCTTATCCAGTCATTTTACAGGACTCATGGAAAGGTTTTGGTGGGAAAGCCTGACTGAAGCTCCCTTCAAACACGTGAAGCCCAAGTGCTCACTCCAGCTCCTTTCTCTCCCAAGAGAAGGAGTTCAAAGCTGACACTGTGAGCTGCTCTCCACCACTGTGGCTTGTGCTGTCATGCACGGGAGGAATGTGGGCTTGGTCTCAGAAGTCTTAACAGGAGACTCAGAGAATCGGTGCGTAGAGGGATCAGTCTGTGAGCTAAGGTCAACCTTGTCAAGCCCAACAGTGTCAGGGAGAGAATGAGGCTTTCACAGCTTATTAAAGTGTTATCATCTTAAAAGGCTATGAGGTATGGCTGCATTTGGTCTGTCTTCACTGTTAATATGCTAATTTTTCCTGGCAGAGTGGTTTTCCTTAGAACAGTACACAGAGTCCACTCCAGTTTGAGTGAAATGCTGCTTGCCTGTTAGATTTCTCAGCATAAGTTGGCCCTTTGCTGAAACAGCTAACTGGGATCATTGGATGTTTTTAAATCGAAATGTGTTTATCTGATGCTTTTATCCAAAGTAACTTGCTTTTAACAGAAGCAACCTTAACAACGTACTTGGCTCAAGGGCTACTACTAACATCCCAGTGAGAATAAAAAGTTAAGTACATCATTGTTGTTTCCTTGAATTTGGTATATGGTATATGGTAAAACCGCGATTTTTTCCCACATTGAAAAGAAGACTTCTGATCTAAATAGACCCACATAATCAATAAAACTGGGACAGAAATGAAATGACCAAAACAAAAGTCAAATTAATGTTCATGTTTTAGCAAGTGACTCCTCAGTAACACAAATTCAAATCCTGGTTGCATGTTTTATCTGCCTGCTCACAAAAAATCTTATGGATACTTCAAAGAAACAGCAGCCTCGAGGGGAGTTTGGAGAAAAATCAGTCTTGCCCCCTAACATTGTGTAATCTTGTCCTTGTCATGTAAAGAACTGTCAGCTCTGTTAACTCAGGAAATAAAACCATGCTACATTTAAAGATTCTCCAAAGATACCATAGTGAATGCAATAGTTCACAAAGGTCCAGAAAAGATAAGCCAGTGATGTTCTCCATTGTAATTTGCTTCAGTTGATTTTTATATCGCTTACCCTATGGTAAGACTTAACATTGGAAAAATTTACAGTTAACGTTTCCATATACTCAGATTTACACTCTGATAGAGCTGTACTTAAACTGCCCAATATGTCTTTACATACGTTTCCAACTGCACTTGCGGTTTTTAAATTAATATTAACGTTTTTGCTTATACTTTATATTGGATTAAATATGCAGTTTTTATAAAAATAGTTTAATACTCTCATATGTTTTTCCCCTCTGAATCATTGTCTTGTTTAATCTGAGTTTTATATTATTAATGATAATAACACCAAAAATAGTGATAACCTATAAAGTGCTTTTTACAAGAATTAAGCATTCAGCACTAATGTCTCAGTCTTCTATACAAACGTTGTCTTGCTCAGATCAATAAATATTGCCTAGTTTTGTCTGAGGCTCATTTTCTATTAGGATGAAAAACAGAAATCTGCAAAGTGTTCTGTTGAGGGTTGGAGTACATGTTGAACTCAAGACCACATCACAGGAATAAAGTTCTGTATTTTTGGTAGCATCTTGAAACATAGTTATTTTGTATGTCTAGTCCTGTAACAGCGATATTTTGGAGCATAGTTTTCTTTCAAAAATATACTATCAAAGGAAGGGAGTGTACTCAATGCAAAAGTGTGGTGTCACATGTCTGTGATCATCTTACACATTATGAGTTAATATCTGGTAGAGTACTGCAATCCTTCAGTGTGCACTGTTGTTACATATATATATATAGCATTTAAATTATACCATGCAGCTGTCTGTATAAGATACAACTTGGCAATGAAAACTTTTTGTCTACAAAATAATAACACCGATTAGCTTACCAAATTTAGCGCTAATCTACATGTCTACTACTCTAATTTTACACAAGACTCTACATATTGTGACATCTTTCCAAAATAAAAATGGCATAAAATTGCAAATAAAGGATTGTTTGGCATGCTTTACCTTTGGAAAGTCAATTGTTCTTCAGTACAGTGTCTTTATATCTTCCAAGGGAGATGCTGATGAAGACTGCCAGACGTATTCAAGATATCAGCCAGTCCTAACCAATACAATATGTGTGGAGAAAGAAAGGATTTGTAAAAAAATGTTTCATCTTTCATCTGCTACTGGGTATCAAGAAACATTTGAACTCATACCTTCCTCAAAGTTATGCCTCGTCAAGTACAGTAGCTTCACTGTCTGTACAGTAAGAAGCCAATTATCAAAGCCACTTTACAGTAAGCAATTAACATACATAAATGCACAAGGGACAAATTATTTATCACCTTGTAAACTCTTCAGATCTTAGAAGTTAGGCAAGGTTGAGCCTGATATGTACTTTGATGGGAGACCTCTAAGGAAAACCAGGTTGCGCTGTACAGTATGTGGTGTTAGTAGACCATTAATTAGAACAGTGTCAGTTTTGCCTCTGGACAAAATGACCAAACCAGAGCTCCATTACAGTGATGGGGGACACTTTGCTCTCCTTTGTGTGGGAAATTAACTCTAAGTAGTTTTGACGACTTAGTCATTAAATATCTTACACCTCACATCATAAGAGTAGGAGTGCTGACTCCATAGTCTTGACTTATTTCTACTTGGGGCATTCAAGCGGTGAAGTAATTTCTCTGTTCTCCATACTTTATGTCCTATCCTGCAATGGGGCTGCTGGTGTGCAATGAGTGCTACACTTCAGTGGGTCGCCTTCTATGTACAAAATGCTATGGATCCTTGTGATGTGATGACAAGCAGCTTACAAATGCAAAGAACATTTCATTATTTTTGGAAGTCCAAATGAAGCATATGATAATTGTTTGCACTCCTACATTTACAGTACACATGCTTATGAAAACCTCTGGATATTTCTTAGTATTAAATGCTTTTGCATCCATCCTTATGGTTCTTAATAAGTGTATGTGTTTGCGTTTAACAGTTATAACAGTAATTCAATTCACTTTGTAGGTACAGTATCTCCATTAATAAAGGAAATTAATTCAAATACTATTTGAAGTACCTATGGGATAGTAATAGCACAACAATTATAGCAAGGGTGAGTGGAAGTGGTTCAGTTCCTTGCTTTGATGTGTTCTGATTCACAATTCCAGAGTCTCATCTTCGACAATGTGGCTCTGTAAATCGTCCAAGACACTCTCAGCTTGTTTGTTGTTTAAAAAGGTATCTTCAGTTTCATTCCTAAATACACCTGTTTCAGATGTCCTTTTCTGGATTTAAATGTCCATTTTTTTAGCTTACAGCAACCCTTTGAAAAAATTGTTGGCCAATAACACTACATCCAGTAATTAAACTGATATCCAATACAGATGTTGTAGCAAGCCATATGTGAGTCAAAAGTCAGGAAAATAAAAATAACCCAAAATGTTAATTACCTTCTGTGTACCTCTTTAGCTCTTAAATTCTAAAACTGAACACCTGCTTTGCTTTTGACCTTCTTTATGGAGCTAAATCAAATTTGTTCAGAATAGTATTTTGTGCTTGTATTTTTAAGAAAGGAAGGTTTTTTTATTTTTATTGGATATAGCAATTGACCAAAGTCTAGAATATAAATAGCGTATATTTAAAAGGAAAGGCTGAATCATAGTTTGTTAAATCTCCAGAGTAATAATATTCGGCAATGATAAAGGGGAACTGATAGGCAGTTTGCTTAGAATTGATAGCTTTGTGTGAAGATTTTATATCACACATGCAGAAAGAATGTAAAAGATTACCAGCTGCTTCTTAGGGAGGCTTGAAAGCCAATTTTTTTATGGTGACATTATGAAGCAAGTCTCAGTTTTGATAAAACTTAATTTGAAGGAAAAATGCCTGAGGCCAAGAAGGGGAGACCATACAAGGTTATCTAATATTTTCACATTCCTTTGGAAGAGACACTTTTTCTGCAGGCAGAAACTTATACTTTACCTAGAGTTCTGTTGATCTTTAACTGATAGAAGGAGATTTGCTGTGGTAGCTAAAATGCAGAATGTAGTTTTGATTAAGTTTTTCTACTACTTGCATGTAGCATTCACCGCTAATTATTGTAGTCAAGACCACTAGTGAATTTTGGAAGTTACATTAGTAAAGTTTTACTATCAAAATAATAAATAACATGTTGTCCTTGTTTGACCCTTCTTGAGAATTACAACATTTAAGTTTAATTTTTAGCTATTGTTTTCTGTTTTTGTTTTTTGGTGCCTTATCCTATTTTTAATAATCAAATTGCATCATGTATATCATGGAGTATTACAAAGTACCACTATGTATGTAAATATGTTACATACTGCAATACTAAACAGATAGCAGTCTGACAGACTTCAGGACACAGAATAAAACAGCACAAAATAAGTCAAGCAGTGGGGCAAAACAGCACCAAACAGTGATCTACTTTTAGAAATTAAGCAGATTGCCATAAAATACCCTTAAACTGCGAGAAAAAAGTAAATACAAATTGAACACAAATAAATACTTGAATGAACAGTTAAAAACAAAGAGTTTGTGATGAAGTATTATGGAGTTTCAAAAAGGACAGTACTGGTGATAGCAGTTTATAGGGCAAGATATACAGGTACAGAGTTTATAGGATCTACAGGTACAGTATGACTAGTTGAATGTGTGGTGCTTTTCCAGATTATTTTCCAAGGCCACATCTCTGTTAATCACAGTGATTTTGTTCTGTCATTAATCCCATGTAATTCTGTCAATTTTATGTGAGGGAAAATCATATCTCTTGCTTTATTGCTCCCCCCAGAGCTTGAATATCCAAGTGGAAGATGTACGAATCCGAGCAATCCTGGCCACCTATCGCAAACGCATCCCAGTAACAGAGGGCTACGTGGAAGTGAAGGACGGTGGGAAGTGGAAACAGATTTGCAATGAAGACTGGACTCAGATGAACAGCAGGGTTATCTGTGGAATGTTTGGGTTCCCTGGCGAAAGAAAATACAATGCCAGAGTCTACAAGTAAGGTGGACACTTCACACACTCCGATATTCTGATTTAAAGGGCATATTGGACATACTGTAAGAAAAGTTACCAATGAGATGAGGCCACTTGACCTTTCTAGGTCATTTTGTTGTTAGGAGTTAAGTGATCTCACCCAGGGTCTCACCCAGCTGTTTATTAAAGCAACATCTGACACCCCTTATTTGCACTCTGTTGTCAATTAGCCCTCATTAATCCAAGGGCATGCATTACCTTAAATGCCAGCTTCATGCAATACAGAAATTAATCTTTTATGAGAATATTTATCCAAATCTTTCCGAAAGTTTAAATATACATATGCTGTAAACTCCAGCTGTACAGTATGTAACTGTTGCTGCGAGTTCAGAGAACTCCAGCATGTTAAATAAAATGTACCTTTAATAAATCCATGTTGACTAACTTGCCATAAAAATGATGCAAAAGTATATTGAAAGATGAAGGGAGAAGAACATGTACTGTATATATACCTTAAAAGGACATACATACCTTAAAAGGAGTTTGCAATTGGCGTGATCTTTAAGTAACTGGGATATAGACCCATATCTGAAGCGTGTAATAAGTTGACAAAGAGCTGACGCCGTTCAGTGTGTACTGAATGTCCCCTTTGTTTAGCAATCTGTCTGTTGTTTAAAGGTTAGATTAAGAGGCTCACAGTGTGAGTTAAAACAATGTGAAGAATGTAGCAGGCAAAGGACATTAAGATTTAAGATTTAAGATTTTCTAGATTGTTGTTTCCCAGTCCCCCACAGGGTTGAAGTTTGGCCTTCATCACAATTATCATCTTCATTATCATCACCAGAACCATCATAGTTTTGAAAGAAATGTGAAGGAAGCTTTAATTGTATTATTTGAGATTATCTGGAAGCTACAGTGAAATGGCTTCAGGGAGACGCAGGCCTGAAGAACTCTGAATGAAACAGATTTTCCTGAAAAGGGTTCAAGAACCTGAGATCTGTTAAATAAAATTCTTGCTCGTACAAAGTTACTTTGACTTCAGACTGGATATTGCATTAGACCAGTTCCAGGAGACTATTCCAGTAGTGATGTTTTTTTCTTTCAAAATTGAGAACATCCAAATGCTACTCCAAGTACGGCTGCAATAGTAGAAAATTTGCACATCAAACCTTTGACAATTTTACAGTTGATTGATATACAGTATTGCTCATTCAAATGTTCTGAGCAATTGAAGAGAAGATGCTTGCTTTGTCGGAGGTGGCAGAAAACTGGCAAGTTTTATGAACTGTAACTGTCATCTAACATTTATCCAGTTTTAGTAACTTAACAGAGACTTAATTCGTGTAATGAATGAGGTTACAGAAGAATATTTCAGTGCTTTTCCTTTAACTCACTTCAATTTGAATAAATACAACTAAATAGCATTAGAATACATTTCACATTAATAACTTGCTTTCTAAATTCTCTGGTTATTTGTAATTCATTAAGAGAAAGGATCTTTTAAGAAATAATATGGATGACGGGAAAGATCAGGTTACCTTTACCTTATTGGTAGATGCTCTGTTTTAACAATCAGTTCTGCCTGTATGTAATGTTAGCATCTATATTGCACAGTGTTTTGGAAGAAATGTTTCACATCTCTCTCTCTCTCTGTCTCTCTGTCTCTGTGTGTGCGTCCGTGCGTGTGTGTGTGTGTGTGTTCAGGATGTTTTCCAGGAAACGGAAGCACACCTACTGGGATTACTCTGTCAACTGTACTGGAAACGAGGCACACTTGTCCAGCTGTAAGATGGGCAATTCCATGGTGGAGAAGGGGAACAGCACATGCCAGCAGGGAATGCCCGTGGTGGTCAGCTGTGTCGCAGGCCGAGCGTTCGCCCCTAGCACCATGATAGGCTACAGAAAGGCATTCAGACAGGAGGTAGGCTTCACACACAGTAACAGACACTTGCTTTTAAGTTCATAACAGCATTACCAATTGCTGACTGTCAGGGATGACGTTAGGAGCACCTGGTTAGACCCGATCGGCGTCCAAATCCCAAAGACAAAAGGCAAACTTCGTAATCGAGGTAGAAGAGCTAGGTCGGGTAGCACAGGAGTTAGGTCTAGAGTATCAAAATCCAAAACGAGAAGTGAGGCGAAGTCAAAGCAGGAGGAAACAAGGTTGGGTAGCCAGAAATCAGGTCGAGAGTAGTTTATGCACACAAGAGAAAGCCAAGGGTTATTCTCTATAGTGAGCAGGGACTGAGTGGAGTGAAAGGGTATAAATAGGGAAGAGCATGAGGCATGACAATTGATTAATTAGTACTCGGGTGTTGACGGTGAGAGGTGCTCATAGGAATGCGGTTCGTGACACTGACTCTCCTTTACATCTTATTTAAAATGTGATTTTTCTCAAAAATCAGCTTTTACCTTAGAAAGATTGTTTTGTTTGTTAAAATAAAATGTTGCCAAAATTGAAAGTGACTCAATTCATTCAGAGTAGTGTAACCAGAATTGTGATATACTGTATAGCTGTTATGCTTGGTCTGACAAAACATGGAAATTATTTTTGAGTGCATTTGTAAAGGTCTGGGCCCAGAATGTTAGCCCATTCACCATTCACAAATACCACACAGCCCTCGTGTTTGTCAGAAGCCTTCATGTATTACATTTTGAATGTTTTTTTTCACGATTGGAGGGTTGGTACAAGTCTGGGCTCAAGACACAGATCTTTGATTTCACCGCAAATTCTGAGTCATTGCTAGAGCACACACTGTAAATTAAAATCAGTGCTTGGGTGAATCTTTGCAGTGCAGAGATTAAGATTAGTTGAGGTTTGCTTGGATCATTGATTATTCTGTCTGAGAAAGTGAAACTTCTGAAACAAATGAGAAGGGATGTTAAAATAAAAGGGAGCCTTATATATGTTATTTATATGTTCTCTGCTGTTTTTAATAAGATCGTAAGGTTTCTCATAACGAGAACTGTAAAGTGAAGTGAAAAGATTGAAAATCAGTCTAATGTCCTAGGGATAAGTTTTTTCCTTTCATCTTAAAAACCATGCTACTGTATCACCTGCTAAGTTTTTTTTATTTCATTACACAATGTTAAATATCATATGGGTTATACTATATCTATGCATAAAGCATAATGGGTAAGTCTCTGACCTCATGACTGGAGAGTTGTGGGTTCAGTTCCCTTCTACAGTCACTGCTGTTGTACCTTGAGTAAAGTACACCCCACTTTACTCCGGTTGCTCAAGTCCACCCATCTCTATTGGTGGGGAATCCCTGTAATGAACCAGTGTCCCAGCCAGGTGATGGTCATGGTTTCTTTAACACTGAAGAAACCAAAGTGAGCTCTGGCCTGGTGAGCCTGGTGTACTAGTAGATGCAGTCTAGACTTTACCACTTTTACCTATATCTGCATGCATTCTTGATGTACTTCCTTACTACCATCTTGGTTTTTATAAACTGCATTTTACATGGAATGCACATGTTATTGTCTGGAAATTTTTGAAGAGCTTTGGAGAGGCAAGGACACTTGAAAACAATTGCTAATCAATCAAAGAAGGCAGCAGGGCTGGCTCACAGAGAAGTTCCAAAACTCCTTCTGAAGATGCCAAGTCCGGAATAACAGGGCCTGACGAGCCTTCAACAGCATTAAGGTTTACACGCCACAAACTGGCTAGGCTTTTTATTCTTGTGCATTGAAAAGCTTGATCGCTTCCTATTCAGTGCATGATGCTGTCATACACTTGTCTTAATTTTGATTTTGATTGCACCCTGAAAGCCTTTTAAATAAGGGATACTATATGAAGGTTTTGAAAGATCAATTCAGTAGTTCCAACAAAGTGATGGTTTTGTATCTTATTAACAGAAATTTGATAAAGCTTCTGATGCCCAGTAAAAAGGAACCAGTCAAAATGATCTGAGTGGGTTTTGAAAGGGTTTTATGGTTCATTACATTCTAATTCCCAGTTTTCCATGTTTTAATTATGTAAAGAGTAAATTTGTGTCTGTAATTACACAGGACACTAATACCAAGCAGTTAAATTGGTTATAGGTCCTGTTTTAAAATAAAATGCTTACCCCCTTACCAAAACATTTAATGAAAAACTTGAAAATACTTGAATATAGAACCTTCCTGCACTATAGTTATCTGGTGTGTTAAAGTCTTCTAGAGTCTAGGATGGAAAGTCATTGCTAATGTTGGATTAATTTTCCTAGTCTGGCAGTGAAACAATAGTGGGTCCTACAATAGTTATGTCACATCTGCTTGATGTTATCATAAAAGACATTTATGTACATGGCTTGCTCACAGTTGTTTTTAATCCAAGTCCTGCTTTTATTTTGACATAAATATGAAGAGGAAGACCTTTCACACACACAATTAAGAACATTTTAAGCATATCAAACCCTTTTGATATTAATATACATCCTGTTTCTGTAATATTTCTTCCTGACTTCTACTCCAACTCATTTGCATTGTTCTATTCCCACCCTTAGTATTTTGGCTGGCCTGTTGTTGACTTGTACGACTGACTCAGAATGTCTCAAAGCTCTCTAAAGGAAGCACCGAATCACTCTATTATCATTAACAGAGGCGCATTATTTCATAAAGGCTTTAAATTATAGCAATTTCACAGTTTTTACTAGTAATCCAATGTTAGAAGTTACCAATGATTTATTTTTTATAATTTGTATTTGTATCTTAATTTTTGGTATGTTTTTATTGTCAGTTCAGGGCAGTTTCGCTTGAAATATATAATATATATTTTTGGGAATATTTTGTTTAATGGCACATACAGTTTAAAATATTTAAAATTTCTAAAACTGAACTGGAACTCGTATATAGTTCTGAGCATGTAGAGTTGAAAATGGTATTTGACATTTGCTAGGGATACAGATTCTGAACAAAGAAGAGCTTTAGACTATGAGATTGAGGAAATGGCTGAATGTGCTATATAGTACATACTGTGCTAACCTAAGGAAAAGTATTCACATTAGAAAAATAGCTGCTTAGGTGGCAAAATTCCTAGGTTATAACCCCATATTTATGGTGCTGTAAGTAAATTCAGGTTTAAATTCAGATTTACGTACAGTCTAAAACTGAGTGGCTGAAATCCAAACTTGAAGTGGTCGTCTCTGTGCATTGATGATAAATTTTGGATGGTGGTTTAAATTGTAAAGTTACTTTATGCATTTGCATATTTTTAATTCTTGCTACAGGTGTTAAATATGCATACTTAGTGGAATTAAATGTCAGTTGAAATGCAGTCACATTGCTTTTTACGAGTGGAAGCTGTGACACTATTGCATCATCTTCTCTGTTGGTAATGTTTGCCTTGTTGTTTTGCTAATTGGACTGTGCTGTAAAACAGATTTCCCCCAGAGGACAATAAAGCTTGAATTGAATTGAAATTGTAAAGGATGGACATCACCTTATACTCTGTTGTGTGACAACTAACATTTTTTCTTATATACATAGGGTTGCAGAGCTGTCAAGATGTGTCCTTTTGCTATGATCATGTAGCAATTGTGAAGTCTTCCTAGCAATGAATAAAGAGGTATACAACTGTATGAAATAACAACTCATAGGCTGAATATGTCAGGTTTTACACAAACCCATTATATTGATCTATTTTGACTGATTCCTGTTGAGGTTGCATTAAAGGTGATGCCACGTGGAAATGAGGCAAACAATCCACTGGTTTCCATGAACTTTTAGTAAGATTGAGGTGTGGGAATTGTTTTTTAGCTAGGGAACATGATGAAAGTTTGACTCAGTCTCTTCAAGCTGATCATGCCTTCCTTGCAACTGAGAAGGTTTGTTCATCTGACTGAGGGGAATCCTAATATTTAGGCCAGTAAATGTATAAAGCACTGCTACATTCCTACTGCTTAGCAGCACTTAGTTTCTACAGCAGGACACTCTTCTGTCACAGATGACAGAGTGCATTGTGAAACTGAGACGTTGGAAGCTATACAAGATAAACAATTAGCTTAAGAAGCCGGAAAGAAATAGACAACAGGAGATTCTTGAGGCTGGTATGTAGCAGACAGACTGAACAGTGAAGGATGCTTACCGCTCAGTTCTGTCATTTTGTCCAGCAGATGCTAATCTTCCCTACTTCATGTTTATGTTCTTGTGTCCTTTGCAACTGGGTGACTCATTATTCCAAATGCCAGGAATATTTCTCTTTGGGGTTTATTATGAAGGCAGTGGGAAAGCAGACAGAGTCTGACCAGACCAGTCATAGATAAACGCTTAAGTTTTCTTTTCCCATGTGTTTTGTTTTAAAGTCTGTCTCTTCTTCTTTTTTCCCTATGGAGCACTTTTAGCCTCACTACTTTTCTTCAGTTTTCCTCTGGTCAGTTTTATAAACAGGGTTTGATTTCCCTTTAAGACCATATACTGTAATATGGTACTCATTAAAATGATATTAGGGCGTTGTGCAAAGGTTCTATGTGTTGAGAAGCACACTGAGAATCTGACTGTAATAAAAGGAATTATATTAGTCTAAGTAGTTTGCTGTTGTTGTGGCTACCACAGACGTGCAGAGCCTTTGAATCTCCCTAACATGGATGAAAAGCACAATACAGTATATACAGTATATCGTTAAGGCTATCACTACTATGGCTTTTTCAACTTGTCAAAGTGGTCATAGAACAGCCTGTTCTGTGGCGGCTCTCTCTCTGAGTGTGAAGGTTTGGGTTTTTGTTCATGTCCTCTGTGCAGCCAGGATGCAAACTTAATTTTAAAATCATTTAAAATTGAAATTGATTTTTTTGGGGGTTTAATCCCGAGACTTTAAAATGAAGTGCAGTGCCCACCTGTACTTTTTTTTTTTCTCCAAGCAACCTCTGGTGCGTCTGAAGGGTGGTGCAATCGTTGGCGAGGGGCGTGTGGAGGTCCTGAAGAATGGGGAGTGGGGCACCATCTGTGACGATAACTGGAACATCCTTGCTGCCACTGTGGTGTGTCGAGAGTTGGGGTTCGGGAGTGCCAAGGAGGCTCTGTCCGGTGCCAGGCTTGGGCAAGGTAAGTTCAACATACTGTAGATCATATATTTTCATGTTTGCTAGGTTTTCTGTTGAACTTGTCTCAGGAAACACATATTGTGAAAAAAAAAATATTTTTAGAAGCCAGCAGGAAGGAGGCATATTTTTTTGCCAGAACATTCTAATATTTAAAAGGAAATGTACTCATTTGTCTAAATTATCGTAATTACTTTTGTAATTAATAACTTAAAATCCATTGTAAACCAAAGCTCCAATTGTATGTCTGTTTTTGCCTGTGGTTTACAGTATATGACACAAGCTGCAACAACAGTAGGTCTTGGCTGGAAAGAGCTAATAAAAACAGTTATGTTCAGCATTAAAATTATATTGTACATTATTTTATTAGTAATTTTATCATTAACAATATCTTTGTAATATTAACTACAATGGTAAAATTAGATTGTGAACCAAAATACTATGGCAAACTGCTGTAGTATTCTTTTTTGGAGACATCTGATTCATGTGCTTTCTGCACTGAAGCTACTGCAACACTTTTTGTTCCTCACATCATTTCCTCACATTGGACTATGAGGAATATTTTCAGAAACCCAATACCGAAGTTCATAAAGTTAAAGAAAGAAAGGGAACTCTTCATGTTCTGAATGTGTGTTAAATTCACATGCAAATTATTTTTAATTTAAGTGTGCCTCAAAAGCAAAGGTTATTTCCACTCTAAAAAATAAAAAGAAACAGGACAAAATGCAGTCTTTCAGCTGTGGAACCTTCTCTGGTTAAATAATCCCAATGGCCCCAGTCAACCTTGATGCCATCCAGTTTGTGTTTAGTGTTTTTGTGTTGAGTAAATCTGGGTTTGTCTACTTTTACAATCCTCACAATCTGGCAGTAGTAACAGGTAGACAAATGAAGCAAAGTGTTAAACTAATGTAAATGTACAGTATGTTAAGAACTATTCTATTTGTAATCAAGTTACAGGTCCCTAGCATCTGTCCTTTTCTATTTTGCTTAATTAAGTATTGTGGACTACATTGTACATAACTACTTTTTTACTTGACATAGTGATTCTGTTTATTTGTTAAGATTTTCATGAGAACGTTAAGGAAGTTTCTGAACAATAGGACATTCCTGTTTGTGTGTTTGCTGGTAGTTGAATAATACAAGAGTCTCATGTATCCTTGAAGGTTTCCGAGTCAGTGAGCTTCAACAGCATATGTGGGCAATTTGCTCCAGACAGTTAAAGTGCTCTTTTAAACAGGATGTTCTTACTTTTTCTTATAAATGCATTTGAGGGAAATTTCTTGTTATTTTCCCTGTTTTTTACTACACTATTTAAAAAACAAAGTGAAGTGAATCAGTGAATCAGAAATCACAATCAGTGCAATATTAAAAGCAATACAGTACAATTATTAACTAGGTCATTTAAAGCAAACTAAATCCAGCCCAGAGTCATTCAGTATTATTGCAAAATTGCAGTGGTATGGTGACTTCACCTCACTTCTTCTGACAAACACTATTTATGTTGAGAAACAGGAACATCTATATAGAGATCTATGCATTCTGCAGCTGTTAGCCCAACAATCAGTCACTTAGTGGATAGAAGTGAGCTAACTAGCTGAGGATCTGACCTTTGGCTTTGTTGAACAAAGAAAAAAAGACTTTGATCTGGCAACTCAATGCCACAGATGCTAACATCTGCTGTCCAAATGCCACTCTGGGATTGAAAAATTCATTACATGTGTCAGAGAAAAGCAGCTAATGTTCAATGCCTGTGCATTGTGATTTATACATTTTCAGCCTAACCTCTCTTGACTTGCACTCTACACTCTTTGATACATGTTCATATGCATGTTTGCCTTTCTGTTGTTTCTGTGCACTCCCTAAAAGCTGAGTACAGAGAGTTTATTAATACATCTTTTTTCTACTGTGTACTTTCTAATTTTGTCTCACATAGTGTAATTATATTTGACTTTTTGTTATTTTTGTTATTAATTAATGTTCTTTTTTTTCATACATGTGGCTATTAAACCGTATTTACCCAAGTGCTATCTGGTTGTTCTGGTTGTTGGCTATTGTCCCAAAGCTTGATATCACCAAATGTTGACTAATTTGTTATTAACACTTTGATTGACATCTATGTATATAGGTAGCAGTGTGTGTATATAACAGCAGCTGTCTGAACACTAGGTATGATTCCACTTGGAACACAAGCTTAAGTTTGGCATGGTCATGTAGGTATTTTAAATTAGAACCATTAGAGGCAAGTTAACTGAAGCTACATTTGAAATGTTATCTCACACAAACAAATTCATTATTTAAGAGGTGGCTATTAGATTGCATGAAATAAGGACATCTTATGTGGGATTTGAATTAAACATTATAAATTATTTTTTCATATCCATGTAGAACTGTGTGCTGTAATTACACATGGGTAATTACATATAGTGCAAGGTATACAGTATGTATGAGCATTTTCTGGACATTTCTCTGTGAAAAAAAGTAGATATTAATATAGTCATGAGAAATAGCTAACAGATTCATAAAATAAATGTAAAAATTTGAAGTGAGCTTTGAAGGAATTACATCTGTTAAACATTATGTGTATTTGAATCTTAAATAGAAATTGTAGTCTTCGCTCATGTGCTATGCTCTCTTGTTGTCAGCCCACACACAGAGGTCATACCCAAGAACAATCAGAAATTGCTGAACCCTCAGCTGTGTCCCCAATTTTAAGATACCAGATTAAAGAATGTTAAAACGGAAGACAGTGTGTTTATTGTCAGACAGTTCTGGGTACTGCCTAGACAAAGCTTTTAGGTCTTGTGAACAAAATTCTACCTCCTCCCTCCAAAATTCTTCTCCCTCCTGCCTAATTAAAATTTGTTCTTTATTGTTAAAATACAGTCTTGTATATAATAATTATTTCACAACCTGGAGTTGATGTTAATGGAAGGAACAGATACTTATTGTCAGCTAAATTGGCTTTTGTGTGTTTTACTAAATCTTTGTACTTTTATTTTTTTCTTTCTTAATTTGATTTTAATTACTCAATCACATACCTCTCACCACAGACCCACTGCCACAAACCCATTGAAAAATATCCTTTCATTTAAACATTTTTTATGAGCTTCATAGCATTAGCAAAAAACTAACTCTGAAACTGTTGGATATTCCAGTACAGGAGCAGACAGGGGAAAACATGCTAGCAGAGTTATGGAAAATCAGTCATTTGTCTCACTTTATTTTTTTCTGACAACAGGGAAAAAAGCTTTTTGTAACCAAATGCTCTGGGTAAATGCCAAGCAGTGTTCCTGTAACAACAAGAGCAGATGAAAAATCCCTGCAATCCTTATGTAACCTGACTGAGTACGCTAGTCCTGAGTTAAGGATTTCCAGGAGAATAAATCATGAGATCATCATAGTGAGCTTGGATGGATCAAAGGAGAACACTAAGAGATTACCTTTCCTGTTATTGTGGTTTTTAGTTAGTTGTTAACTCTTTTAAGGGTTATTTTTTAGCTGTTTCTAAAAAGTAGCAGATTTGGATAAATATTTACTTGAATGTTGCCGCATGATGGCTTTATAATCCTTTCATAACTGCTACACATGATGTCATAATCACATGTATAATGTCTTATAGGGACATGCATAAATGAAATAATGTGTGCATAAGAGGTTACATTAAAAAATTATATTTGTTTTAGAATCATTTCTAGCTCTTGGTATAAACTATGCTAAAATGAATGGCATAACACTTCCTAGTACAGCGTTACTCAGATTTCTTTGAGTGTAAGTGCCACTGTGTGTTTTTGTATTGGCTGTCAGGTATGGGTCCTGTCCACATGAATGAGGTGGAGTGCTCAGGGTTCGAGAAGTCCATCACTGAGTGCTTCTTTAACAAAGACTCGCTGGGCTGCAGCCATGAAGAGGATGCTGGTGTGAGGTGTAATGTTCCTGCCATGGGTTTTGAGGGCCGGGTAAGTGGAGATCCCTGACATTTCCTGAGGGTTTCATGTGAAACTGCCAATTTATTTTCCTAAAGTTGTCCTATAAAAATAGCACATACAGTAAGTATAGTATTTAGCCTTTGCTTGAATGATTTTGTTCCGGATTAATTAACAAAAAAAAATATAAACATTATATCACAATTATTTACAGTAAGTTATATGTAGAACCATTCCTGCTACCACAGTCTACGTTTTCAGTTTCACTAGTTTCATCAAGGAGAAGAAGAACAAACTGGGGAGATAAAATAAGATTAATAAAGCCAAGTTGAATATTCAATTTTAAAAAATGTTCTGTTCTTAAAATTGTAAAATATAATCCAAATTCATTATGCATTTTCATGGTCATGATTTGTCTTTGTAATTCAGAATATAATAAAATAAAAACTACATGAAACTGATATAATGTAAATAATTATATACTTACTGTAAATTCTATATCATGTGAGTTGGGACCATGCAGGAATCTGAGAACACAATGTAGCTCTGATTTCATTGTATACAGGTATGTACACGTACTGTATATACCTATGCATGTAGAGTATGTGCATCAAGGACAATACAAATAAAATAGAAGTACACAAGCAAGACAAAACAACTTTTTTAACCTCCGCAAGCCTTTTGTCATCAAGTAAACTAAATTGTTAAGCCAAGTGGAATCAGAAGTGTGTATTTGACCACAATACACAAAGACAACTTAATTGGATCCTGAGCATCATTTGATTATTGTTTAGACTTGTCCCACCATATTTGTAAGACAGAACGTCAAGCATACTGACTACTGCACATATGATTCGATTGTGTATATTTTAGTATATGGTATTACAGTACATAGTATTATATAATTTACTCCTATGGTATTGCATGTACTGTAAATGGCATTTTAATTAATCTTTATAAACAGCATTAGTTTATAAGGCTCAGGATCATGCTATCAATAATGTGTCCTTGACTCATTTTTTTTAACATGCATAGCTTTGGCTCACCACACAAGAGTATAATCTAGCCCTGCAGCAAGAACCTAATTACATGGCTTCCTCAGAAATCATTACATAGTCTCTCCAGCTGCAGCTGTTCTTTATATGGCATACTGAATAGGGATAGTACTACACTGCTGTATACTACTCAGCAGATTTGGTTAGGTAATATTTGAGGCATCTACAATGGACAGACATAAATCCTTAAGCCTTTTTATTTTCTTAGTCATTATGTGCAGGATTTCCTTCATTTATTACAACCGAGAAAGCCATAAAACATTTGTTTATTTTCAAAAGCAAGAATACAGTGTGCTTTTTCATTCTTCATGGGTAGAAAAACAACCAATTGGTTCTTCTGCTGCAATAACTATTCTAAGTTTTGTGAAGAAAGTATTTTTCAGTATTGGTGCACCAAGCTGAAGCTCAAGTGATTCATTGCAGAGAAACGTGTGGAAGCAAGTCACGGCAACATATGTAAAAAGACAAATATTGTGTTTGCACATGGTCTTTTCCTGTTATTCCAAAAGCTTGCTAGCATCAGATCATTGATGATTTTCGTATGGGTTTTATTGGTTTAAGGTCTGAAATACTCTCTTGTGTGCAGTTGTTCAGAACAAAAATTGATCTGAAATGCTTATAGTGTAATTATTCTAATGATACAAATGGGAACATTTAATGGACATGATTCCCAACATTGTAAAAATGTGCTTTGTTTTTTGAAAAATGTATGCATTTATTTTCCATGCTTAAATTGTCTCCTATGTAATTAACAGCTTGAAACTTTCTAAATTACAATGGTACAAGGCAAACCCCACTTTTGAAACTCCACTTGCAAACATTTTACCTGATGGCACTTTTTTGTTCATCAGAACAAACCTCGTCAAGCCTGCAGTCAAATTGAAGGTTTTGGAATTTTCGCCTGGGCCGAGGGCTGTCTAACCAAAAAGCTTGAACATGATACATTATGCCATTGCGGGTGGTTTTCAAGGGACCTTTCTCTTGCTGTGTTTGGTCAGCTGCGCCTGAGCGGCGGCCGGAACCCTTTTGAAGGCCGTGTGGAGGTCCTGGCAGAGAAGAACGGCTCTCTGGTGTGGGGCACTGTGTGCAGCGATGGATGGGGCACTATGGAGGCCATGGTGGTGTGTCGTCAGCTGGGACTAGGCTTTGCCAACCACGCCTTTCAGGTAATCCACTTCAGTACCAGGGTGCACAAGTTCCAACCTACCCATCATAGTGCTACATTAGACTGTTTATATTAGTGGTGACTTCTTGCATCTACCTACTGTAACTCAAACTCACTACTGGCATCACATCCTGGGTTTGGGTACATTGACATTAAATTTAAAGCCAGGTCTAACCACCCTAGCACAGGTCAGAGATATGTGTGCTGTGCTGTCATTGTGTGATGGAAGAGTTGGAGAGAGAGGAGCATTTCTCCTTATCCACTTTTAAACACACTGCAATAAAACATCATTTTTACCATTCCTGAGCCATGACTTAGTTTGCCCTCCTGTCCGAAATAAACATACTGTATTGATCTTGCTATACAATAATATATAATGTTCCATATACTTATATAGTGCATTTCTGGACACTCCACTCAAGGTGCTTAACAGGTAATGGGGGCTTCCCTCCCTCACTACCAATGTGCAGCATCCACCTGGATGATAGGTGTCTCTAAACCCTGCAGCAACCCAGTGTTCAAGTATCGGGGTTGCCTAACCTTGACCTAAACACTCTGAACTGGAGTCAGTCAGCTCAGACTGTTAATGACGGAGAAGGTGAGTAGGTCGAGTTTATTCAAGAAGGACAAAGAGAGGTAGTAATTTATAATAGGAAGAGGATGGTATATTATGGCTTACTTTACAGAGGTTATGCAACTGAAAGGAACATTTGCCAAAACCACAATGAAGTTTCACATAAATAATTCAAGCTGCTAATATACGAGTTGAAACATTTCTCCTTTAATTTTGGAACATGGTGAAATTGTTTTAGAACATACAATGGTGAGAAAGGTTACAAAGCAGAGCACTTTCCGGCTCTTCTTTTACATTTGGTTGCTATTAGACATTTCTTTCTTGCAAAAGTGCCTTAAACTTAGCATGTCAGAAAACACTTGAGAAATATGACTCTTTGTTCTGAAAAAAAGAACTAACAGCAGTAACTGAACTGAAGTTATTCTAACAGATGGTGTACAACTATATATTTGAGCATTACTTCCTTGACATTTTATGTAAGCAAGATATTTTTTAACTTAAGTGCTCCAGCAGACATGGGAATGAAATGGAAAATTTGACTAGGAACTTTACTTTCCCCACCTTCTCTCATGTCAAAGATACAAGAAATCCAGCAACAAGCACATGGAAACAAAGGCCATTCCTTCTGACTTCCTGACACACTACAGCGGCTGTAACTGCCAGCAAATGGAGAATGGCTAGGCTCCACAAAAACAAACTTACACAAGGAAAACATGGTCAAATGTACTCTATATGTGGAGATAGTACTGGACTTTGAAATACATTATTGCCAATTCAGGTACAACTGAAACTAAGAACAATTAAATGAGAATCCACTCAATGGATGTGTTTTTAACAAAGAGAATGTATGGCCTGGTATTTGGAGCATGAGGCACTTTTGTTTTTTAATCTTCTTCTCTGAGGTTCAGCGATCCCTAGCTGGAGATTTTTAGCTTTAGGGTTTAGCTTGATTAAAATCTTGATTGTGTATGATTTAAAACATTGGATAGGATTAGAAATAAGTATAGTAACAAGTAGTTTCAGTGTTTCCATGAACAGGTTCCTGAATCCATGCTGAATAAAGGATGCTTGTTATTGGAGTGTTTGATATAATCTACTGTAATCCCCACACATCTGAGCACCCTTAGCAGAACAACAGTGTACCACACACTTTGAGAATAAACTAAACAGATCTACGGTATATGTGATGAGATTGTTGCAACCGTACACCTCTGTAATACAATGGAGTTTCTGCATGTAAAATAGAAACCAACAGTTTAATTAAGGATAATATCAACTAAAGTAATTAGGCTGAACAAAGATGACAATATGGTACTGTATGTACTATGTATGTAGTATGTTTAGAATATTACAGACTCGATAACTGTATATACTGTAGACCATTTCAAAATGGAACATATTCAGAAGGGCAAAGTACTGCTACTATTAACAGAACAATAACAAAAAAAGTTTAACTGTTAGTCTGAAGACTTCCAAGAGCTTCTTTCTCAGTTTTCTGTCAGTTTGTAATAAAGTATAAGTTGAAAACATAGGTAAATTAAAAAGATGGTATAGCAATATTGCAGAATTAGTATTCAACACACAAAAGCAGGCTAGCCTCTACTTGCTACTGAAAGTCCTCTGCTTCAAAATAACCGATTTTGAAAAAAGACACTATTAATAAACAATTGTGCTTAAAAGTAAATAACAAGAGCATTTAATTTGAACAAATCTTGCCCAAATCGTATTTAGCTAAATTATTAAGGATGTTTGGGTTCATGACATCACAACACGAACACAGCACTTTGTCCCAAATTGGTAAAAGCTGTTGTGGAAAAAATGGGTTTGATTTAACTAAAAAAACACAAAATTGCACAACCCTTAACAATAATAAAGTAGTTCTAAATAACAATAAGGAATAGAAGAATTCATGTACCACCATCTGGCAGACAAAAATTGCAGGCTTGCCTCAAACTTTATTCAGTTCAGACTGAATATAAAAATTAAAGAGTACAGAACATTTTAATTTGACGATACTTTTAAGTTAGCCTCTTCATTTCGTCCCCTGGCATCATTGTATCTGTCCTAACTAAATATGATTTACATGAAGGTTGACACTGCTTGGATACATTGTGTGTGGGGGGCAGGTTTGAAGTGCTGCTCCAAAGGGTGGTACAACTTTGAGGGGATTGGGCTGTTGTTTTGTCTTGTTTTCAGAAAACGTTAAAGTTGAGAAAAGTAGTTCGCAAAAAAATTATTTATATTTCTGCTGTTGCCTTACGTTACTATGTGCTATGAGTTTCAACTTCTTTTGCTCTGGGAAAGAATAATTCCAAACACCCCCCAAAAAACTAAACAGTGATGTCATTGTTATTGGATGTCTTTGTAATTCAGAGACTCACTACCCACTCAATGACAATGGCAGAAATCAGGGATAGGTAGTTTATTGTGTGAACTGGTTTCTATTAAAGTGATTCATGTGCCTTTTGCTGTGTGCTTCTAACATTTGAAGGTTTGTCCAGTTTATTTTCACAGTTTGTCTGGTGTTGACACAAGCTCTTGTCACAACAACCCTCTCAAATATCTTATTATTTAGGAAACGTGGTACTGGCCAGGAGAGGTCAGTGCGGATGATGTGGTGATGAGTGGGGTGAAATGCTCGGGGACAGAGATGTCCCTCTCTCACTGCCTTCACGATGGACAAAACCCCAACTGTCCCAAAGGAGGGGCCCGCTTCGCTGCTGGAGTCTCGTGCTCGGAGAGTAAGTCCTCCTGCCACGGCTTCACCCTTGATCTTTCCAGTGTGCACACTTAGCCACTTGTCATTGAAGGACATCCTGCCAATGTATACTGTGCTCCTAAATCCTGTCCAAAGTTGTGAGAAGGTCTGTCCCATGCTCACTGAAGACTGTAATGAAATAGCAGACCAGGCCTTTGCCTCAATATTCTGTGTTGAGAAAACCAAGGCTGATATGCAGTAAGTAAGCTCATATAAGACATGATTTTTGGTGGACCTGTATTGCACCAAAATGTATTGTTGAGGCAACAGCAGATCTGGCCAATGTGTCTTTTCAGACATGCTCAAGGGATTACAGGCAGTGAGTAAAAATAAACATCAACAGGAAGTACAATGCAGGTTGCAAGAAACTGCTAAACATCTAATGCTGTTGGCTGAGTGGTCCCATGTTCCTATGGACATTTGTGAAAATGTATGCTGAACTGATGTAGTCAAAGCGGAACATGGACAAAATTAGGAATATTCTCTAATTTTGTGGTAGCAGAATATACAGCATATAATTATGTCTCAAGAGCTAAAACCATCAACGACATCTTGTGCTGTGGTTTTGCTTTTGCCCAAGTGAACGGTTTTTTGCTTACTGTGACATTTTCCATTTAACTGATGTCACTCGGGGGGTCATGTCCATAATTGTACAGAAGTTCTCAAAACTGACATACAATACCTTATTTTCTCATGCCTGCTCCAGGCGCTTCAGCCAGGCGCCTCTAGAGGAATTTTCACTCAAGAGGGTTTTCTGTTGTTTCCTCTCAGCTGCCCCTGACCTGGTGCTGAACCCCCAAGCAGTGGAACAGACCACCTACCTGGAAGACAGGCCCATGTTCATGCTGCAGTGTGCCCATGAGGAGAACTGTCTGGCCAGCTCTGCCAACAACGCGCCCGCTAACGCCTACCGACGCCTGCTGCGCTTCTCCTCACAGATCCATAACAACGGCCAATCGGACTTCCGTCCCAAGGCTGGGCGCCACTCCTGGATCTGGCACGACTGCCATCGGCAAGTACCTGCCCTATATGTACATGAGGTCTTCTTTTTTTCCCTTGAATAACCATTAGACCCCACAATCCCTGGGACATTTTGAGCCAGGACAAGTTGGCACCAAAGAAATTAACAAAAATGCAATGTTTGAGTCATTTAGAAATGAATCTTTGTCAGGATTGTAATACAGTAGACTATTGGGGAACATTTTGCAGTTTCCCACATTTTGCATTTGCTGTTCAACTTTTACTAATTAAACATACTTAATGGAAGATGATCATTTGATATGGGAGCCCTAATTTCATCAGGCTCTCAAATCAAACATTTGTCCAGTCTGAATGGTGAATTAAAATGCTGTCAATATTAGTGTATATATAAATGAGGATAACATTTTACTTAACAGTTTAACTTGCCGTACACATGTCATCGATACAGTAGATGTTACATAGTGCATCTGCTAAGCAAATAGAAACACTAAAAATAGCATAAGAACATTTAGTCCTCAAAATTAAAGAAAAACTTTGTGAAATTAATTCTGTGATGCATTACAAAATGATGCGTATTAGGCTCTATAATGCTGATCATGTCTAATTTCATTTTAAGTTCAATATAAATGTATAGTTAATTGGAGAAAATTTTGATGATCAACTTACACTTTTATTAGTTTTACATTTAAGGCAACCTGTTCCACCTGTAAGTGACCCAGAGGTTCTAGGAATGTGCTCTCTTCTCTTCTGTTATACATCTTAACCAGTTACTGATTTATATTATTGACAATATGATACTGAGCCACTGATTGGAAGGCACCTCTATTACCTGAAAGCATCTGGTACTCTAGGACCAGGGCAGGTGAGGATTGCTGTACTCTAGGTTTCATAACCACAGGTTTTTAATCAGACTGGATCAGGTGATATAACAAAAGATAGGATGCAACATCAAGAGAATTGGTATTAGGTCTAAAAGTCTAACAATGATTCTAAACATAGTTCAGCTATCAAATCCATATCTTTTTTTGTATTTATTACTGTATGTTTCATTTATGAGACTCATTTTGAAGTTAATATGCACATATCACACATGATTATCATGTTTAATTAAGCAATGCAAATACTGGGAGATATATCTGGAATATAATCAGACTTATTCTTAGATACAGATTTCTCTATCAGGGATATTGGCTTTTTTTATACACCATTCTGCTCTTTAACTATATAAAGTGTGCACGTATATTTTCACACATGTACTGTATTTGAGGTTGTGACACGGGCTCTGTTTGATGGTCAGGGGTGAGTTTTTAGGTACTGGCAATCATATTCGGGTTTAAAGCTTGAGAGACAGATTCGATGATTCCATCTAATGTTTTTTTTTTTTTCTCCAGAGTGAAATATAACTCCATTTTGTCTTGTGCCTTGTGGGATTAAGTAGAAAACTTAATACTTAAGTATCATTTAGCATAAAAGCTTATTTTTGATGATGAATCTTTTAATTATTTCCATATATTTTATGGAGCTTTGCTTAGGATTTTGACGTATCCTAACATTGTTACTGTAGGTGTTAATGGTGCCACAAAAAGGAGTCATGTAACAACACTATGTCTGAATTTCCTGAATTAAAAAAGGACATTACCAGAAAGAACATAAAGTGATTCGATATACAGTACAGTATAGTGTGATGTTGTATAGCCCAGAACACTTGTGTGGAGGTGTGGGGTTTCATCATTCAGGAAGTGGCTAGTTCATTTACGCGATCTAGTTCTCCAGTTCTACCACATTAATAGAATTACTAACAAAAAAGAGATGTTTGCCATTGTGACATAATAACTTCTTTTATAGAGCATGTTAAGAGGCTGGGGTCTGGCTAGGGTGAAAATGGGGAAAGGGTGGGGGCAGAGCAGAGGAAACAAAGTGTAAACTGAGAGGATTTGGCTACAGTGTGATATTTCTGAGCCAGAACAGCCAAAGGAATATTCACATTTATTTGGAAAACAGTCCCAGACAGCATTGTTTAAAGTATGATGGAAAAATACATTTCATGATTTCATGCTTGTGCTAAATTATGGAGTAAAGGGCTGGAGTGACCATGGAGACACACAAAGCAAGCATTGATTGCTGACCTATGGAAAGGGGAAGTAATTATGGAAACTCAATTTTTACAACTTTCTACACAAAGAAAAATTAAAATCCAGTAATATTTTAAGTGCAGTGCTCACATTCCATCTGATTTTCAAACTTGAAAGTCCAGTGTACCGACACTGAAACTCTTGATTTGCAATGATGCCAAAGAATTGTGTTCATGAAGCTGCCGTCTAAAGGTTGCTCTAACCTACTAAATTCCCATACAGTGACTATGTTTTGTCATTTGTTCAGCTGTTGCAAATCTATAATGGAATAATTTTTCTGATCTAGTATTTCCCTTAGACCATGGCCTTCCGTGACCTAGATGGTCTATTACAATTTAAAAAATATAACTCACTTTATCAAAGCTAAATAAATTGTTATGCTCCCTTTTGACTTTCCAGCCAACACTTGTAATCCATAGAGCAAAATAATTTTTAAAGCAGAGAAAAAAATACTTAAACTGACATCTGAGTATTTTATGCTACATCATTAATAGTAATTGCTGTATCAGAGGAGACTTACTGAAACAATTACTCATTCAAGAAATGTTATTTTGTTGTAAGTCAAGAGAAAAACATATGACTTATTGTAGTTACAATGACAGCAAAAGTAGCACAGAGATCAGAAAACTGGCTCATGGTTGTCCAGGTTCTAGCTATAAATGGGACAGAATTCTACAAGACATCTTCTATCTATAACCTAAAGCAAAGTACACATCTCAGCTTTATAGAATCTATTGTTTCCAATGGTGGGCACAGCTATTAGATGGTAACTTTCACATTAGACCTCCAGTTAATTGATCCAGTTGAAGACCCATCTTAACCAGCATAATAAAATTGTGTAATTTTTAAATGTCACTTCACCTACTACATTTCTTTGTGAGTTTGATGCAGTTTGTTCTGAGTATACAAAATAAAATACAAGGTTTTAAATAGGTAATTAGTAACTGATATAAAAGCAGTACAACACAGGGTACTGAAATCACTGTGTTAAATCATACTGCCAGATCAGGTGGATCAATGGAGCAAATAACTGGATAATAATTTCAAGAGTGAAGAGTGAAGGGAATGAAAAACTAAGTGGCCAACAGAAGAGCACGTAGAGGGGCTACAAGAAACAACTGCAGTCAATTACTTATAGCTGCAAAGATAGCTGGGATAACCCCATATGTACATATTGTATATGAAGACTATGTTCCCTTTGAAATCTTGAAACTGTGATATTTGTCCTTAAAAAGTGGCTGGGAAGTTGCAGACTTGGCCTCTTTAATACAAATGCCTGGGTAAATGCAGGGGCCTTACTTAAGTGCTTCTTCTCATTCTTTTGGTTTCATCTAATTAAAGATCACATTATATCTCCTTCTCAGGCATTACCACAGCATGGAAGTCTTCACACACTATGATCTACTCAGCCTTAATGGCACTAAAGTCGCTGAAGGACACAAAGCCAGCTTCTGTCTGGAGGACTCCGAGTGCGAGGAAGGTGAGAACCTTACCTCACTGAAACATTAATATTCAGTCATAGTTCAGGTCGCTGCATAAAATCTTATCTGAGACTTCAAACCATCTTGATAAAGCATTTTGAAACCACAACAAGAAGCAAAACTACTTGCCATTTGCAATTACTGCTTGGTTGATGCATGTTCCTTGTTTTATGTCACTGGTTGGCTCTTAAAAATGAATCCACATTAAACATGCAATATTTTTCTTTAATTTTTTTACATAATAACATTAAAGGTTTTTATAATTCCCTCTCCTTCTTTCTTTCCCCTTGTGTTTGAAAGGGATTCATAAACGGTATGAGTGTGCTAATTTTGGAGAACAAGGAATTACAGTGGGCTGCTGGGACACTTACAGGCATGATATTGACTGTCAGTGGGTAGATATCACAGATGTCAAGCCTGGAGATTACATTTTCCAGGTGAGATTATGCTACTTCATTCCACCGTGATATCTGTAGTGTTATAAACTATTCCTTTCCTTTTCAACCAGTGGTGACAATGTGAAAAAATAGCATATTTGAAATGGAAATTATTTGTTATCAGGTTACTTGGCCACATCTTTTTTGTATACAAATGGAATTAGAAAATAAATGACCTCACATTATATGAACTGATTATTCAAATAGCCTTAGTGATTATTCCCTAATCAAGAACTTGAAATGAACCTGGCAGATACTTACCTGTGGTCTTGATCGGTGGGTCTCAAACAACTCAAACTTGTGAAATGTTACTGTATAAGTACAACCTCAGACATGGTCCCTCATACCACAGCACCTCTTTCAGTAATATTATGGCTTTTGGAATTTTGTTCACGTGCGCCATCTGCTGTAAAAAACTTTTATAGATTCAACACGAGGTTGTTTTTACACAATGATACATTATCATTCAAAGAGTTTTAAAAATCTTACCATCAGTAAAAGAACTGGATCCCTTTATGATATTTTAATTGTATAGTCTTTCAGTGTATTTAGATATTGTAGCAATATCGGTCTTTGTAAAGTAAAATGAATAAAATAGAGACTTGATTTGTTTCTATTAGGTTGTAATTAATCCCAATTATGAAGTGGCTGAGTCCGATTTCACCAACAACATCATGAAATGCCGGTGTCGGTACGATGGACACAGAATATGGATGTACAGCTGTCATATAGGTAAGAGTTTAGACACTAAAAAATAAGATTATATTGTCTAAGTTTTTCTTCAGGTTATTTGTCTTCCTATTTTTCCTATATTGTACCATTTTTTTGTTTACCAAGCTGTATAATGTACAATATCTGGATTATGTGGATTAGTGATTTGGGAGTAAAAAGAAATCGTAACAGATTTTTGTACAGTACTTGCAATATAAAATTATCATGACTTGCAGTCTTATTACATATTATATCCGATAAATGGTAGCTGGGCTCAGAATTTGACTTCACTCCTCCTGCACAAACCAGCAGCACCAAACACAAATTGGTTTCTGTATTGCACTTATATGTTTATACTGTATTAAACTTATGTCCTACAATAAGAGGAGCAGAGATAGGGATGAAATCCAGTATTAAAAAAAAGAGATTTTGTAGAAATGGTGTTTATTAGAAGTTCGGGAGGAGGTAAAATCCTAATGTTGCCTTCTGCACTCTGATGTATAAATGCTCCCTCACCGCACAAAACCCTACATGCATCTTTTCTAGCTCCTCAACTTTGCCATTGCAGCATTTTCTCCCTAGATCACATTCTACAGTCTGTTAATGTGATAACAAACACAGAATCAAGGTTAACAGCTCTGATGTCTTCCACTGCCTTTTGCAAGAGATTATTAAATCATGAGTGGATTCATGTATTTTTAGGATAAGTATGTAAATGGTTTTGAAGCATGCAGTGGCTGTTTTGACAATTGTAGAAGTCACTTAAGCATCCACAATGTAAAAATGACTGGAAAGACTGCATCAGGTTATTTGCGTCTTAAACCCCTGTGGTTTGAAAGGTAAAAAACAACTGCCTGAATGAAAAGCTAAAGAGCTTGTATCAGCGCACAGACATTCAGGAATTGGTTTAACAACTGTTTCGTGCACAAAGTGGAATGCTACTTTAGTTAAAAGAATTTGGTCTTCATACTGTAGTTCTGTTAATCCTAATTTATTTAAATGTATATAAATATATAAAGTTATATATTTTTCTTTCCAGATTTTTGATGGGCAAAAAACAATTGTTTAATACTAACAAGTATGTTACATGTTTTCCACATACAAAAATATTTAAAACCTTATTTCTTTGTTAACAAAATACTATGGCATAGAAGAAAGTACTAAAACATTTTTCTTGCCTAAATTAAGGAACCAAACCCTATTTTTTCCATTAGGTCTTATATTTGCATACTGTGGATCCACCCTTAGAGGGGCTGTCAAGAAAGGAACCCCCAATGACTAAAAGTTCCTGTTGTTCAATATATGCTGTTGTTTGCATTATTGCTGTTGAAACAGTCAGGTATTCATTAGAGGAAACTGTCAATCCAATTACATGTGACACATATTTTCATAAGACACTGCAATTGTAAAAAGCCTCAGTCCTGGAATATTGTTTTTTCCAGAAGGATAATTAAAACAATAACAATAACTGTTTTTTTCCTTTTTGTGTCAAAGCCAAATTTACACAAAAGATTTCAGCTAAAGTTATAACTTTAAAAGGCAAAAATGTCTCTGAAGAAAACTAGACAAGTAATACTTTTTTAGTCACCCTTTTTCCAAAGAACACATCTGACCAACACTTTAAAAATGTCATCTGAACATTGAAACCTGATGTTGTTTACTAGACATCACTCTTCCCAACTCTTTAAAGGTTTTATAAAGTACACAGGTACTTTATAGCTTACAATGAAGATCTTAAACTGTACATGAGTGATGTAACATAAATTGGAGATGGGGTTCATAGCTGCAAGCTGAGTTGTGAAAAATATACAGCTGATTATTCCATAATTCTGTTGGTAAAAATAATAAGTGATTCTGTGATTAATGTAGTGATATTTGTGATTTTAACCTAGTGATTTATAGAAGAAAAGTGAGTCATAACATTATTGTGGAGTTTGGTATGTCATTCATAAAAAAACATATAAAAGGGTGCTTTTGAAGATGACATCAGAAAAAATCAAGAATAGATTAAACTTCTTCATTAGGCACCTTCAAAATATTTGGTTATCCGTCTGAATAACTGTTATTATTAATGTAAAATTAACTAACACTGCAAAGCCAATATCTTGTGAGGCAGGGCAAAGACCACTAAAAACTGTAGTTGCCAGGGATGTAAACATTTGAGCTAAAGATATACCACTGTTGTAATTTCAAATCCTGTCAATTTCAGTTCATTTAATAGATCCTTACTGCACCAGTCAAGGCCAAAACACAAAAACTAAGACTTTGCATTAGTGGGTAAACCATAACATTCATAAAATATCAGTTTAGACTTCAGAAAAATGTTGCTTACATGAACAAAAAGTTGCATTAATTTAATAGGCACAAATACTCACTTTTGGAAAAAATCTACAGGGAGTTTTTATTGATGTTTTTTAGGACTGAAAAACAAAAACAGTTTAGATGAGAGGAATAACTCTTCTGAATGGTCAAAATCTTCATGGTATTGTCAGTGGCTAAATCTTCAGTCAGTTTTCTCTGGAACAAAAAAATATAATTGTATTTGTGAGGGCTTTTGAAGAAACACATAGATGTAGCAGTACTACTGCTTTCACAGTTTGGGAAGTTATTACTCAAAATGTGCATGAACAACAACACAAACTAAAATACTGAGACGTTTAATAAATGGCAAGTAGGTTCAGAATGCGAAACAGACGGTGCTCATTTTCACAAGACGTTGCAGCCTGTGGAACAAACTGGCAGTGGTTCCAAAGCTAATTCCTTAGGAATTCCTCAAAACCTTCTTTGGTCAGGAGCTTGAATGTGTAAGCTACAGCTTGATCTTATTTTACCTCCTTGTGTTCTTCTCTTTTCCAGGTGGTTCTTTTAGCGCAGAGACAGAAAACACCTTCCCAGGACTCATTAATAACCAGATATCCCACAGGTAAAGGGGACAAAAGAGCAGGAACCGGACATTAGATACACCCAGCAATCCAAGACATGTGCCAGTCAACCCAACCACTAGGAGATGGTAAACTTATTTCTGTCCACTCCCTGGTGCTGCCCAGTTCCTTTTTCTTACTTGTCTGAAAGTCCAAGGTGCTCATTCGATGTGTGCCAAACAGTATTAAAGAACCTAATCACATTTCCAATTGTTTTAGAAGCACATCATGGTCTCTAAAACTTTTTGCTTTGCAATTTAATATAACTATTTACTAATGGTTCTCTTAATTCTTGAGTGTTTATCTGATAAATGTCCTACAATGAGTTAAGTACCACCACATGTAAAAGTAGTTATTTAACTCTCTTCTTGCCTTTAAAATTGTGCACTACTGACCTTTTCTTTAAGTTACATTAAAAAGCAAAGACTATAAAATTAATTGGCATTTTACAATTTTTAATTTACATGCTCAATTGATTTGAAATCAGTATAATCAACCTGGACTCATTTTGGGTTAATTTTAATTCATAAGGTTAAAGTTAATAGTGCCTACAAATAAGACAGAATTTAATGTTAACTGTTGTTTTTACAAATTTTCCTTATTCCCCAAAGTTCCAAATGTTGCAAAAGATCAGGTAGCAAAGATCTTACATGAATTAAATTATAAACTACATATGGTTTTAGGATGTAAGATTTTAACTATAATCTAGCCTTCTGTTTTGAGCTTTTCTCCTACTCTAATTCTTAGAAATAAACTCTAATTTCATGTATTAAGGTACTTTGGTTACATTAATGCACATGTAGAAGTAGCAGTATTTGATAAGTAAAAGTTTCTACTAACTCTAAAAAGCATTATGCAGATTACAACAAAAAATAAGGCCACTGCAGATTATATTTCAGTACAGTCATTGCAAGACTATGACGCTCAATAGTTCGATCAATTTATTTAATTTTCAATGGACAAAAAAATTAATAAAAAGGTATCTGCAAAATTCTGTTTTGGTTTTTGTTGGCACTACTTTTTTAGAAGCAGCGCCTAATTATTTATTGATTTTAAGAAGCATGTTTGTGCATTTTTTTTAATGCCACTAATGCTGCTTGTTCCTGCTACAAGTACTACAAAGGACTCCACTGTAGCAACGTACCAATGGACTGGTTACACAAGTTTGAAACTGCCACTGCTGTATGAGCTAAAGTGAATGCTTGTTGTACAACACAATCAATTTGCCATTGAAAACAAAAGCAATACTTCCTCAGCTTAAGCAGCCCAAGATTTAAAAAGATGTGCTCTGAAAAATAGCATTCTCCAGTCCTTCGCCCCCTTACTAATGCAGTACCTTCTACCTTTCCTATATTTGGATGTTTCTGCTGCAAAAAATATTTTAAATATTTCAGGAGTGACAGGTCAACTTGTGCTTATGCAATGCATTTTTTCTTAAGAACCACATTTTATAATGGCTTTTCTTTTCCTACTTTCAATAAACTCATCTGTTAAAGTAAGCATCTTAAGTAACTTATTTTTGTAAGTCAGGGATTTCAATATATTGATTTATATTAATGTATCATTTTCAAAGCCTCTGCCAGTGTAAGTGTTTCTTTGTTCATTATTTTGTGAAATTTGTTTTTGTTATGGTGCTAATAAACTGTGTTCCTCTGTTTTTTGAGGGTACACATTGCCAGCTGAATGGTTATGTATGCATATACTTGAAAGAAAAAAATCCATATTGTGCTTCTTTTTTTGGTTTCCATAATAAAGGTATGATTTATTAAGCATACTGTTTTGGTTTTTAATGTATTAACCACTAATCTTCACCTTCTAGCTGGTTTTTATTTCAAAATACACTTACATTTGAAGGATTTAATGAAGCATAGTGCCAATGAAAAAGTTAGTTTACAGTTTTAAAATGCAACCTATAAAATGTACTGTTCTCAAATTGTCTCAATTTAGAAACGGCATAAGTTCAGAAACATGCACCACGCATTAATGCATGATCTTCTTGACTGGGTCCTTCTTTCAGTAAAACTGAGGGGCAAGCGACAAAGTAGGATCTAACCTTTACAGTTCCTTACCAAAGTACTCAGACCCGTGGACGGTTTTCACATTTTGTTGCATTTGCACAAAGGTCAAAACGAGCACAATTCGAAAGAGCTTCAGCAAAATTCCCAAGAAGAATGGATAAAAATTGCACCGAGCTGGTGTGTAAAGTTGGTACTTATCCAAAAACACTATTTACTGTAACTTACATTATCCTTAGAAGTCTTCAGTTTGAGTAATTGGATTTGAACAGAAGTATTGTATGCATCATTTTGTCATTTCACAAAATAAGACTCCATAGGAAGGATCTGAATACTTTTGCAAAGGTACCAACCAAGAGTAAGAAAGAAATAAGCCGACAGTAGTTAAATAGTGCTATATGATTTCCTATTTAAGTCCTATTTAATTTCTAAATTTCAATGTTGTATTGACTAGTCATAAATCAATAAGCTCCAAGTATTTAAAGATGCGTTTAAGTGTGAGGGAGTTGTGTAACATGAAGGTATAATCAGATATAGCCGAAAAAGATTAGATCTAAAAATGTTTCTACACTTTCCATCTTCTACATGTTGTTAAACTCACAATTCCAGCATCTTGATCTTGTGTGATAACTTCAGCAAACTTCAGCGGCGCTAGCTGCGGACACTTCGCTTCTGTAAGCCCAGTGCTCTGGTCACCATCCTTCTGGCTGCTTCAGTATCTGTGCGTGGTCTTTCCTTCACTGGCTGAATAAACTCTACACAAACACAACAAAGAATAGCATTTAGCCTCTCTGCTGTACAGTCTGTACTTGTTCATCAAGCTTTGTTAACTTGTCAGAACTTGTTTACATTTGACTTAGTCAGGTTATGATCTATACTCAACATATAAAAAAAAATGTAAATCTCTTGTATAACCTATTTTCTTAACAGCACGGAATTGTACTAAGCTTGTCATGAAAATTCAGGAGAAATGATAGCAACCAAGTCCCCCTTTATCTGTGCTGATCTTACTTGTTATCCTCTCTTAGTACTCAGCCAAGCAGGCTATGCCAAAACTCTTCATGCTCATCTTTTTTTTTATTTTCTTTTTGAGATTGGGTATCATTATTCCTCACAAAGGGATACAAAATAGGGTCTACACTATCTCCACATTTCCATATGTATTCTACTTGTTTAGGGATAGACTTTTTGTATTTAAAGCACTAAAGGTATTAGCCGACAATGATACAGCAAGCTACAGTATGCATCAGCTCTTCCTTACTGCTATAAAGGCAAGGTTACATTGCAGTCACACATTTAGAGAATTAAATACATGATGTACAGAAGATCTGGGCTTATTAAAGGAGATACAAAGTTAAAAAGCACTTTTCAGCTCAAAAATAGCATAAAGGGCTTAAATTGTTAGAATTTTCAGACGTGCAGCATTCCATATATCTACATTAGCAAGATTTCAGATTTTAAGGTTCCTATTTAACTAGATTCAAAGTAGTAGTAAAAGTAGGCAGACAATCATGTATAGTTAAAGCATTCACCATGCACAGGTAGGTTTATGTAGTTCAGGTGGGTAGCTGCATCAGCAAGAGTAGGCTGCAAAGAAACAAGTTGTGGAGCCTTCACGGGTGTAATAAATATAGGGCACTCAGCAAAGATAATGTAGCATGGGAGCACAAAAGCCAGGAAAGAGGAGGAGGCAGGAGAGGGGGCGAGGCAGAGTGGCCAATCAGGTGTTGTTAGGTCGAGAGAGGTGAGGAGATGTGTGAATCGAGACCTACAAATGAATAGAGATAATTAAAAGAAAACAAGTCTGTCATTGAGAGAAGGGAGAAGGTGTGAATCGAGTTTCAGGATAATTTTAGTTTCTGATGTCTTTCTGCTATAGGAGTTAAGAAACCCTACTTTGAGAACGCAGACAGAGAGATCAGTGTGATCATGGCGGTAAGAGGTGAAATGAGCAACTAAGGGCTTTGAGAAATCTTTAACCTTCACAGCCCTAACATGTTCTCTGAAGCGGTTTCTGAGTCTCCTTCCCGTTTCCCCAATGTAGATGGCTGGAACTTTGCTACAAGAGATACAGTAAATAAGGTTGCTGGAGGTACAAGATGTCATCTGAGTGATCCGGAATTGTCCTGAGGGGCCTTGAATGAGTGTGGTGTTAGATAAGTACTTGCAGGTGATGCAGCAAGCTCTGTTGCAGGGGAAAGTGACTGGTGTGAATGATTGCTGAGGGCGGTCAAGGGAGCTGTGAACAAGAAGGTTATGCAGATTAGGTGGTCGGCGATATGAGATGATAGGGCTGTCAGAAAAGAGGGCCCCAATGGAGGGATCATCCTGTAGAATAGGAAAGTTGTCATTAACGGTCCTGGGGATAGAGAGTGTGTTCATTGGTGCTTCCTTACCACCCAGTGTGTAAGGAAGCACCAAAGGGAATGTGGTTGTTAGGCCGGGAGGTATGGTAGGTTACATAAAAAGACCTACAAATGTTGAATGCTCTCACATCTACTCTTTTTTAATTTTTAATGAAAATAGCTAAATGTATATTTCATACCTGCGCCCCTTAAAGCCTTCCCTTTCGACTTCTTGGATGCTTCAGACAAAGCACGTGTCTTCAACAAAGGATGCTGAATGGTGAGAGCCTGCAAGGCTGAACATAAAAGTACAGAGTGACACATGTCAACTGTTAAAAACTGAAGTACTGTTCCCTTTCTAATGAAGCACACTTGTTACCCCTCGGGGAAATGACAAATCTAAGCCCTCCAATCAGAACCTGCCACAACATTTAGCACCTTTCATCTGGCTAACTTTCTTCTCTTACCAGGCAGCGTGGACCAAGTAGCTCACCGCTATTTTTTATCTCATAGCTGGCCTGACAGAGTAACTTCACTCAGCTGAGCTTGACATGCTCTTCCCATTGCAGAAGATCTTTCTGAAGAAGGCCAGCCCACCTCTCAATGGCACTGCAATGATCTACTTATTTATTTCTCATTTCCACAGGGAAAGATTGGAGTGTTTGAAACTACAGCCCAGGATGCAGCACACTCCTACCTTCTCAGATTTTTAACTAGGTCCCATACAGACCCAGCTACCAGTCATTATCTTCTAGGAATATTTTGATATATTCTAGGAATATTATTGTTTGGATTTACACAGTTTGTTTAGGTACCAAGTCTGTCATGCCATGATGTTTGTTCACATTTATTCATTATTGTACAGTATATAGTACCACGTAATATTATTTTTTTCCCTAAAAACCAATAAACAAATTAAACATAAACAGGGTCTCAGGCACTGACATGATCGTTCAACAGTGCTTTCTATGAAAGCACTGCCATAGAGGTTGTGCCTTCATATTTGAGTGTCCTTCATATCAATATTGGCTACTGCCACTTCCAACCCAAAGAATTTATTTTTCCAGATCACTGCAGTTAGACTCTGCCTCAAACCTGAAGGCTTTGTATGGGTGACTGCAATGCAGTTACAAACTCCTGGTTACAGACTTTCATGACCTTTGTCTCCGTTGCATGGACCTAGAATAGACCTGTAGTGTACTGGAAACCTGGAAGGCTGTTGTTCTTGCAATGAGTTTATGGCTAATTCTTACCATACAGAGAGGAAACACAGAGCTACTAGAGTCCAGTATTAAACTGTGAGAATCATGCAGTTTATTAAAGAATCAAGAAAAAAAAGTTTTGGAGTGGCCTAGTTAAAGACCAGACCTAAACCCAATAGAGATGCTGTGGCAGGACCTGAAATGAGCAGTTCATGCTCGAAAACCTGCCAATGTTTCTGAATTAAAACAGTTCTGTGAGGACGAGTGGGCTAAAATTCCTCCACAATGATGTGAAAGACTGATATTGAATTATAGGAAGCATTTGGTTGCAGTTATTGCAGCTAAAGGTGGTGCAACCAGTTATTAAGTGTACTTTTGATAATGTGTCAATTACTTTTTCACACAGGGGATATGGGTGTTGGATAACATTGTTTTGTAAATAAATGAAATAATCATAATAAAAAAGTGTTATTTGTTCACTCAGATTCCCTTTATCTAATATTAGATTTTGTCTAAAGATCTTAAAACATCCAGTGTGACAAATATGCAATAACAGAGGAAATCTTTATACTTTTAAATACTTTTTCACAGCACTGTACCTAGAGGAGAGGTCAGTAAAGTGGCACTTTAAAGACAGTAAGGAGGTAAGATCCATTTTTTCCATCAATTCCTTCCTCTCAGTTGATATTTTTCATTCCAGTAAATGGTATGTAATATTTTTGTGTAAATTAACATGTAATAGTTTAAGGGTGCCAGATTCCCTGCAAGGCTATAAATGTTTACTATGCAGGGTGCTGGAAAATGTACAGCTTTGATTTATCAAATTATTAGGGAAATAAGTACATGCATTGGCAAAAATACAATCAATTCCTAATTAGACCTGAAGAATTCACAGCCGAAACGTTGTATTTTCTCTCTTCTTTTAAGCATGGAATTAACCTATTACTTGTTCCTTTGTAAATTCCTAATTATATCTGAAAGTCAATCACAGGCATTACATGTGGTTAAGGTGTTTAATTCTGTATTGTATGACTAGTGCAAATCTCTCTCGAAAGTAAAAAGACAATGAAAGAAAATCAGTAACATTACAGTACAGGCACTGACCTCCACACCTGGTTATCATTCTACTCTGTACTCTTACATTACTATTTCAATCAATTGTTCACCCAGTGGTCTATATAACTACTGTTTCTTTTTTTTTTACTCATTGACTATTATAAATTCCTGGTAACACCTGGTAAAAGTCAATCCATGCACAAAACTATGAAATCAGATCACACTTCATTAATCCTTTATCAGTGGATAACTGCCTCTGTGTGTATGTTTTTATAAAGTGTGATTTTTATCCCCTGTACTGAAGTGTCACCAAAAAATCTCTTCTACCTAAATTATAGAATATTACCTGCTGAGTGGCTTGAAAAAACACCAAGTGCATGAGTGTTATCAACCCATTTGATCTTCAGGCCTCCCTTGCTGTAAATAGATAACAAATGATGCAGTTCATTTTCAAACATGCAACAGATAAAAGAAATAAGGCAAAAAAGTGGAAAACTACAATTAGAAATATTTCTAAAGTAGTTTTTAAATAACGTCACAAAGGTAACATTTTCCCCAATTACTTCTAATTACTTCTAATTTAGCAATCAAAGTTTTTGCAGAGCAAAACATGCACTAAAATGTTAAAATTAATATTACGTTTCAACTTATAGATTTAGGCAACACAATCCTAGTTGTGGAAAATGTTTTGTTCACTTCTTAAAAAATAGCTTTGCACTTTGCATTGGAGTAGAAAACCTTGAAAACGATCTGAAGTTATTTTTCTTTAATAGCTATCTCATTGTAACTGAAATAGCAAAATAGATGTAAAGATCACCTGAATTCTGCAAATGCATCTAGCAGGTCCTCAGTGGTAAGTACTGCTGGAAAGTCGTATATTTCTATAACATGACCAAATTCTTCTGGGTCAATCCACACATTTGCGTAACAAGAGTATTCATTCTGGGCTCTCTCAATGGTTATGTCTGGTTCTTTCAGGTTTGCAGTGATCTGAGAGCAGGCATGAAATATGGTTACTCACATGGATCCAAATGGGACAGACAGATGGGCCAAATGGCATCCTCTCATTTGTGTTATTATTACATGACTTACCAACAAGTGGGTTCCTAAATTTGCACTCTACTCCAAGTGGTGGTTTTAGTCTTTCATTTCTCACTCTCAACATAATGCTACACACCTTGGAATCAACGTGACACTCATAAAGGAATTTTACAAAACAACATCAAATTAGGCATATAATGCCATACTTAACAACGATTTACTGTTATATCAGTCAAAATTGGAGACGAAATTTAAAATAAAAATGATTTTGGAATGGATTTAAATAAAAAAATAATTTAAACATTACATTGGTTGAAATCTATTAGATGCATTTGTATTCATCTTACCGAAACAGACTACAGTAAAATGTCAGCCTTCAAATATTAGCATAAAAGAAATAAAGAGGCAGTGTTACAGTGTTAGAGTCTGGTAGCTTCCAATACTGTGCATCTGGTCTTCATGCATTGATGTACAGGAAAATGTTGACTGATGTACCTTTATCTCAACATTGTAAGCACCTTTTTTAACACTCTGAAAATAAGACCAAGAAACATCTGCACTACTGTACCTCATTTATAACAACTCTGAAGTCTTCTGTGGTTTCCACTTGTGCCTTACAAGTAGGGTGAGATGTTGTGTTGCTTCTGTCTTCTTGCTGGTCATCTATAGACAATGCAACAAAATAGGAAACAGTCTGATCCCAAGCAGGAACCCAGTTTTTGTGATTCAGTCTGGCAGAGGGAAGAAGTGCCTCCAGCTCACTGGGTGATTTGTCAATGCCGGGAGATGCCGTATCATGACTGGTCTTTGCTATGTTCTCAGTTTGGGCATTTCTGTTGTAGTCTGCTGTGCATTTCAACCCATGATCCGGGAGCCCCTCTGTTTCAGCAAAGGAGTCCTCAGAAGTGCTCAAACTGGCACCAGAAGAGTCCAGCTTATTCTTGCTCACAGCTTTGGCACCGTCACTCTGGATCCCCTGGGCTGTTTTATCACGCATGGCCTTGCAAATGTAGACAGCCTTGTCCGGCCGTTTCTTGCGCCTGGTCTGTCTTCCCTCAAGAAGCTGATTATTTTTCACAGGATCCACAGATTTAGTTGCTACTGGGGATCTGTCATATAAACTGGAGTCTGTGTCCGCAGAATCATCCAGTACTACCCTAGAAAAAAAAAGGGTCAAATTTTAAGCAGAGCATTCACAACAATATTCTGAAATGAGCCAGGTCCCCTGCAAACAAGGCTGATAGTTAAGTAATTAAAAAACAAGCAGGCTTCACTGAAAATATTTAACAGTTTTATAACTTTTTCAGTTTTCTATCCAATGAAACCTTAGCACTGGATGGTCCTGAGTCATGCTGTTGCAATTCCTGAGTTTGTGATGAACTGGCACTCATCCAGAAGATTTTATTTAAAAAAAAAACTAATAATTGAGATCTTACTCTGTGGTGTGGTCAGATATAACCTTCAGTCTAGTCAGAGCTGGATTTAAAAAAAAAATTGTGCCATGCTACAGTTTATTTTGTGGGAGCTGCTCAGACCATATCATGATGAAGAGGCAACATGTTCATAAACCCTCTTAAAACATTACCAGTGTTTGACATATCTGGTGCCATATTTATTCAATCTTCACCAGTCACTCTTTTAAACAGTTACCACTAATGGGAGGAAAAGAGGATTTAAACGCCTTAATTGCGTGGAATGAGAGGAACGCAACTTGTGTCATATTCCCTAAAGACCAAAGGGTTAAACTGATTAGGAGCTGAACTGTGAATTGTGATTTGTGAATTGCCTTTGCTGTATTTTTAAGATAAATTATTTCCTGTTACTTTTTGTGGCCACTTTTTTTGCAACAAAGTGTATATACCCGAGACATTTTTTAAGAGAATTGTTCCTTCTTTTTCTTTTTTACCATTTGAAAATATTTGTACTTCTTTCCCTACATAATTTTGTGGGATTTACCGCCTCAGTTTGACAATGGGGTTAATTTTTTCCTATGAAACTATTACCCTCAACTCCTGTTGGGGGACACCACCCTCACATTCGCCCATTCCGCTTGCTTTTTTAAGGTCACTGTCTCTTAATAACACAGGGTACCTGAGGTGAGCGTGACAGACAACAGCTCTGCGGCTCCAGCCCTCCCCCACTGAGAACGTGCTCAGGGAATCAAAGCTCTCTGCCGTTCTGTGAATCAGGTAACGAAGACGGCTGGGAAGAGGTGGAAAAAGAAGTACCCTGGAAAGGAGAGAGATGAGATCACAGATTATTGACAACCCAGTTCAAGCTCATTAACTCACTTTTTTTCAGTTCAAGCTGTTAGTGTCTTGAGCATTTGACAGTAAAGCTGTTCAATTCAATTCTACACCAACACAAAAATTATCTTAAGAAAAAATAACTAATGAGTTACAAAGCTGTACAGCTACTTTCTGAATATATTTTAATGACAGAACAGCCAGAATAAGTCTAGTCTTTGTGTGTATCTGAGAATATAATTCTATGTGTGCATATATAACGTGTACCTACTTTTTTATGTACATGACCAAAATGTAACTAATTTAAAAGAAACAGAGCACACAGATTTTGTATTTCCACAGATTTCATTGCCAAACCCAGTAACTGTCTTGAGATGCAACATAGACCTAACCCTTACGTTTTCTCGTCACTCTTCTGTAGAAATGCTTCCAGTTCCTCCATAATTTTGTGAGCAAATTCATTTTCTTGCTTCGGAAGGTAGACGCCATTAAACCAAGGTAACTCCAGGCTGCCTAGAAGATTGGCTATCCCAACTGCACTGGTGAAGATTCGTCAGCCCCTTACATGTTACAGAAAAGAGCAAATGTCCATTTAGACTCATAGAGTGAGCCAAATTAATTTGCAAAACAATACTGAGGAAATGGGAACAACAACCAAAAACGCTTTCTTCAAGTTTCAGTGACAGTCCACAACGATTCAGGCTTCAAACACAGTACCCTAATGAAAAATATCTTTGATTACTGTGTGAAAACTCCAGTTTCAAGTTACAAATGGCAAAACATTTAAAGTCGTACACGCATCCAAAAACATTCAAATTGTTTTTATTTAGCATCACTCTGAAATTGAGATGGCTATACTAATTTAATTCCTAAGGAACAGATACAGCTTTATCACCATGCATCTCAAAACTAACCATCCACTGATGCTAAGCATGTGTGAGCCTGGCGAGTACCTTGAATTGGAGACCTCCTGGGAAAGCTAAGAATGCAGCCTGAAGAAGTGTTTGTGGGGCCAGCAAGGGGTGCTCACCCTGTGGTCTGTGTGGGTCCTAATGCCCCAGTATAGTGATGGGGACACTACAGGGTATATTGTAAAATTTAATGTCCTTTGGATGAAATGTTAAACTGAGGTCCTCGCTCTTCATGGTCATTAAAAACCCCCAAGACATTTCTCAAAATGAGCAGGGGTGTTAACCCCAGTGTCCTGGCCAAACTTCCCCCTGGCCTTTACTAATTATGGCACCCTAATAATCCCCATCTATGAACTGTCTTCCTCACTCTGTTCTCCTCCCCACTGATATTTGATGTGAGCTGAGCGTCACATCATCCAGTGGGTGCTACAGATTGGTGGTGGTGGTGGGGGAGTCCCCGTCCCCACTGCCTGTAAAGTGTTGAGTGGAGTGTCCAGAAAAGCGCATTATAAGTGTCATGATTATTATTTATTCCCTGCTGAAAGGTAAACAAAACAACATTTCGACTGTGGAGCCTTCTTCAGGTGTCAAGAAAACCTAATTTAATTGTTGTTGGTTAAACTATACACAGTAAATTCTATAATTAAACTATTAGTTCCTTATTACCAAGTGGGCGTTCGGTACCTGATATTACTTCATTACTGTATTATCAAGCAGTTTTGCGGGAGTCTCAAAGAAATATACCTTTTATTTCCCTTATTAATCGCCCTTAATAGTACTGACATAATATCGTAACACATATATCCTAGTCGTGTCATTACCATTATTTAACGCAGTAATCGATAAATCAGTAATCGATACGAACGAAAACGAAACTAAAGTACAGACAGAACAAATTTACTGTAGCTATGGGTTTATTAAACATATTGTCAAACATGCCAGAGAGTTTTTGTTTTACTATTATAAATGAACCGAGTAAGCATGGATTTACATTTTAAAAGTACTCAACATTCTAAATGTAGTGAGCATAACGCAAGAACCGCTGAAAAGCTTTATTTAGCGTTATTATTTAGCATAAAGTACTGCCTAACCACACGCCCCAAAATGCTGCAACAACAGTATTTTCAGTACGTTCAAGAAGCTTCCAAGTGGCCAAGCCTTCGTCGATTAATCATTTCAGGTCAACACATACTATTAAATAAAGCATCTTCACAATAAGCCTCCAGAAATAACCACTTCAGCTTCACTACCTTACCTGTCGACGTATGACGTAGCTGTTAAAAACAAACCAGCACCACAGAATAGGAACATGCTAGTGGTGCTCATATCTATTCTAATATTCAATCTCTCTCGGCGCCGGTAGCCCCCCTGCTGTACAGGCGGAGTCAAAACAATTAAGAGAATGGAGACCTACCCGTTGTACTTTATGATAATTTTAAGTTGTGTCGTCCGTCTAGAACAAACATTAAAAATACTGCAGCTAATGAAGTAGTTTAACCAAATAAAATATGCATTGAAATTATTATTATTATTATTATTATTATTATTATTATTATTATTATTATTAACTTTCAGATAGGTGCTTATCAAGTAATGGGAATTCGCAGGATTTCGATCATTGCAGGTTGAAGATAGGGCCATTTTAAATCACTGACTTGTATTGGTATTGGAACGAGTTGAACTTGTAACATCAACAATTGCATGAAGGTGGCATGAAAGTGAGTGAAAATAAGTACAATTTCAAGAAATGTCAAGTGATATTTAAGTTCTTGTTTGACGCCAAGATTACTTGAAAAAACACAAATCTTAACAAACTTAGCAATAGGTTAGTAATGGTAGAATGACAGTAGATAAACGAATTAAATAAATAGAAAAACGGTTCACTCCTAAAATTAGTCTCCGTAACGGAAGGGTCCTGATTACGCTAATTGAGGACCTTTGTTTTGCAATATAATTTCTAATATTATATAAACATCCATATAAAGTCGCAGAGGATCCCCATTTAGAGCTTAAAATTAAAAGAGTTTCTGCTAGATAAAGGCATGGCAGAGTATCACGCCTGATGATCAAAGTTCAATGCGAGTTATCGGGATCATCAGTTATGTTAGAAATGTAACCCTAAATATACTAGAATGATACAAAATGCACAAAGTACAAATCGTAAAATGTGATATGTAAGAACAGCTTCTCAGAAGAGGTATTGAAAATTTTAACATTTGCGGGTTAGACAACGGGAAGGAATCAGATTTAAATGTCTGAAGTAACGTAAAAATTACTCCAGATGGCGAACTTCACCTACTGTTAATCTCTTGGAAAACTTGGAAGTCTTCTTTGTTCTGACAGTTTAAAAGTTGACTATGCCAACAGCGTATGAAGTAAAAAGTTAATTTACTTATTTATATTTATATGAACAAGTTATAAAATAATATGATTTTAACTTATAATACATATCCTGTCGAAATTATGTATTTTCTTTTGGATATTATTTCAAATTAAAAAGTCAAAATCAGCAGCAGCTGGAAAGGACGTTTAACATAAATGAACATTAGATTTTATTACTAACATTTACTGCATACTATTTATTTAATTAAATACACGTTTTTCTTAACTAAGATGAACTGCACAAAACCGCTAAACATTATAATCCATTTACTGTAGGTATGGTATTGATAGTTTCCATATGCTCTTATTGCATACAGTATGTACTGTATGTATAATTCATAGTGAAAATGAGTATCAAAATGATCTTGTTTAGCAAAGAGGTGTTTAATACTTACACTTACTTCATAAGTACTGTAATAAATCTAAGGCATCAGAAATTAAATTTGATAATATGTCAAATCTAATATTGTTTTTCAAGCTGTAATGATGGTACCTTTTTTGAATTTACTGACATTTTAAATGCTTTAGAAAATTGGCATCTAGTTTAGGATACAGTGTCTCAACGCTTATCTATGATACTTATGATAATGAGAACAGGACATTAATTTGAAGACAATCTGTGCTTATAATATGTCAGACATGTACTGTATATGTTTTCTGGCTATTTAATTAGGTGTATTACTATGTTGAAAAGCAACCCTCTCAAATATCATGCATTTGTATTTCCAAGTCACAATTCAAAAGAAACTGCAAGTATCCTAGGGGGTTGGTAGAGTCATCTGCTTTGAATTTCTAAAGAGTGTGAAAAGAATATGAAAAAGAAGAGTGGTGAGTGTCCTACATGTCAAAAGTGTGTTGTGATCTGGCTGATGCTGAGTGTGGAAGGTAAATAGATGAATTGCATTTCTGCCTGATTTGACATCCACCTGTGGTCAGAGCAAAAGAATGGGGCAAATGAATTGCTTAAGCATGGGAGGCGAGATTGTGGTTCGGCGGGATCCTCATGCATAGTGCTCAGAGCCAGTGGGTTCCAGGTTTGTGTTTCGGAGGGAATGAGAAAGCTGAAAGAGCAGAGCTGAGGGACTGGGAAGCAGGAAGAAAAGGCAGACAATGTGGTCAAGTCTTTTCATCCGAGGGCACTCTGGTCTCTCCTGGCATCCTCTACACCTGAGCTTTCAGTGCCTTAATTGGTTCGTTTAATCCATTGGACAGACTAACACTAATACAAGCTGTACCTGGAATTACATGCAGCTTAAAGACCTTGAAAAATAAAATGATCTAACTGACCACATAATGGGATCCTCAGCTGGAAAGCCATTTGGTCCTCAAAGTTTGGAGTTTGATACCCTTGCTCTGTATACTTTCAAAATATCTTGACATCTGGGCAGCTGAGTTATATTCCTATTATAAACCAGGTTCATTAAGGATTTTTTTCATAGCTTACTGCTCTTCACTTTGAAAAATGTGCTTAGATACATTTTTGAATTAAAATGACTTGTGGTAAATTTCCTCCATTTAAACAAATGAATCAAAAATCCATCAGCCATAAATCAAGTGCTACAATCCTACCACTGGTTTGAAGTGCAGACCAAAGAGTCAAGATGAAGGTATATACAGTATTGTATGTGATGAGGATATTTACAGGCATGCTCACTGCTTTCAGAAAAAGTGTTTACGGTCTGGATCTGTCAGTATTTTCTAATAAAACATTCAGAGTGCAGTTCATGAGTGCTAGGGTCTTTACCACACTGTTGAGTTAGAGCATTCGTAAAATGGCGAATGGAGCTTTCCTCTGAGTAAACTTGATAATGAAGAGAAAAAGCTGACAAAATCCTTTCTCCCCCAAAATGATTACATTTTTTTAACATTAAAGCAGTGATTTGCAAAGTATTCTCACTGTAGTCACGGCAGATGCCAAACAAGTTCAATAACCCGCTGTTAGGCAAACATGTGATACTCTAGTTGCAAGGTACTGTAAATTTGTAAAATCCTATGATTCAACTCTTCAATGTGCAATCGAAAACTCAAACACAGCTTTGGAAAAGCTTGGTCTTGAATTTAGTTGGATTAACAAAAGGTCTGGTTGATTACAAATGGTTTGACTTATTCTCTTAAATCACATGGTCAAAATGTGTTTTGTTTGCTTTTTCAAAAGCAAAATATTTCTTCACTATAATCCCTTGATAGAAGCAGCCAATAAAAACAACAAAAAGTGCAGTGCAGTTCTGTGAACTGAGATCCCATATCGTATGCAAAGTGCACAGAAAGGCATGTGTTTTCAGAAAGTCTTAACCCTGGCATAGCACTGAACAAAGTTTTATTGCAAGATGATAGACAGTGTTAATGGAAGCCCATGTTTACACAAAGGGTTGTCAGACATCGAAAAAGCTGATAACTTGACTCTCTTCAAGAACAGGCTGGAAAAGACCCTCGAATCAGTTACCTAATGGCAGACAAAAGAGATTTCTGTTCTTATCTGTAAATCTTTTTATGGTTATTATGCACATCCTACCTGAACTAATCCCCAGAGATACACTGTAATACTGAGCCACTCCAATTTTCATTCTTTTAAGAGACCCATGTCCTTTCATAGTCTACTGACAGCTCTATGTTATCTGGTGGTTAATTTCGCCAGTAACTTAAGATCATCCAGTAAGTAAAACTAATATTGCATTTGAACTTGTGTTCAATATAAGCTGATATCTTAGAGGAAAAAGCATTTTTTGCAGTTTTGAGAGAACAACAGTGTTCAGTTGTTTAGAGAGACAAGTTCCACAAAATGAATAACAGTAATCTCATGTCTTATTTCTCTAATACTATGCAGTGAGATGCTGTATTAATACCGTTCATTTCTAGACTATTACTGTATATTTCATGATATTAGGCAAATGTGGTTTTAAAGTGTAAAAATCTGTAGATCACAGGTGTCAGTAAGTTCGCTATGTCTTATAGCTTTGTTACCGCATTAGTTTAGGTAACAATCTCCTTTTAGGACTTTGAAGAGTTAATTCACCATTAAGTCTTTTTTTTTTGTTGAATACCAAATTTATTTATTTCTTCTATTCTTTTGTGTGACATTGTGTACAATTTAAATTAGTAAAAAAATCATAAGGTAAAAACAATGTTCTCAATGTAAAAAAAACAAATGCTACAAGATAAAGATAATTCTACTTCACACTATGAATTCAATTATAAATTAGTAGTAAGAGCTGTGCTACTGGAAATTATCAAAACCCCCTCTCTCTGTTGATTTGTATTTACAGTGTAACACATTCATTTCAAATCCTTTAAAAACCACAACCTCCTGCAGCGACAGACTCCTTAGGTGGACGTCTTGTCGTCAAGTGAGGTGGACTATGTCAAAACATGATTATAAAGGTCATTCCATCACTTCAAAGTTTATCTTTTTAAGTCTAAAAGATAAATCTCACAGTACTGCCTACTGTAAAGAAGCGATGATCAGGCTTAAACGTTTGTTGTCACTCTCTGCAAGATGATATCAGCACTATTTCCAGGAGATGTTTTCATATCAAGTCATGCCATAGCACGTAACACTAGTTCAAGTTCCATAATAAGTAGTTACTGTTATCACTGCCATCATCTTCCTCATCGCTCCTGTTCAGCAGTAATAATTAATATTGCTTGTGATTAAAACGATTTACATCAACTCATGAGGATCAAAGAAATCATCTATTTAAAAAATACAGGTGGCTAATGGAGTTACTGCACTATTTTGACCAGTGTGCATTTACAGTAATGGCGGAAAAAACAATACACACATCAGATACATGTATATGGTATCTATATTTATTTATATATTTCAAGCAGGTTTGACAGGTTCAAAGGCGAAGGCACATTTTTCAAAGGCCGTCATAAATACATGTCAAAGTTTTAGCTCAAACATTTATTTCCATTCAAAGATAGTTGGGTGAAACACTGCAAACCAGGCAGCCCAATTGCTATCTGCCTGGTTATATTCTTTATTTTCCCAACACAAACTCAAAAAGCTTCAACTCAGTTGAGGGAAACATTATACAGTTCTGGAATAAGGCATTACTTGGTCTGGAATTTAGAAAGAACTTCCAATGTCAAGGTACCAGATCACCCTGTAAAAATAATAGTGTGCAAAAGGCACAATGACTTAGGTACACTCTTTAAACTGGCCTATCCTCTCAATACATTCTAAACTAATCAAAATCAATAAGTGCAAATTATATTTTTAATATCAAATAATAATAAATGATAAATGACATACACTGAAAATAGGAAAATAATTCTCCTTTATTCAGTCTATTAATATTCTAACTTATACAAATAAGGCATCTGTAAAGTTTCATAGCAAACATACTGTACAGTATAAGGATACCCTTTGTTCTGTGCATGAAACAGAACAATCTTGACAAATAATTTGAATTCACTACTAACAGCTACTTCTGTTTTCAGAAAACTGAGTGAGCCAAGCTCTCTGTGAGAGGCTTTGAGGATCCACTCATGCCATCAAGGCAATGTTGCCTTTCCTTTTGACAATAATATGATTTAATCCTAAGTATCCCAGGAGAAATCATTCTATATGGAAGCAGGCTGATGAAGGTTGCACTCTGCATGCCTGTAAAATCATTTCCAGTGGCCAACAGCCAACTCTTCAACCAAGCAGGAAAAAGTGTTCCCTATTGACACATCTCTTAATAGATCTAATTGACCAGTCAAAGACATTCTCTTGAGCAAAGTAATCCACATAAGTGGTAAGTTAAGCCCCCCTTTTAATTTTCCAGCTCTTATTTTTTCAATTTGATCACATGATGGAAAAGCTCACTGGGTTCAGTGGGATTAGAGCTCAGGCCAGACAAATGGGAAGAGAGGATGCCCATCCATGTTTTCGTGCCTTCTTCCAAATCAGGGTTGCAGGGGAACCAGAAGAAAGCAATAGGCGCAAGCAAGGTACACCCTAGACATAATGCCAGTCTATCGCTGAGCAGTTGCACAGGCACAAACTCGCCTTAGGGCCAACTTTCCCAGAAGTCAATTAACCTACCAGAATGTTTTTGTAGGAGGAAACCAGAGCACCAGAGGAAATGCATGCAAACACAAGGAGAACATACTAACTCCATGCTGAAAGCATCCCAAGTTTGGAATTGGACCCAGGCCCCCAGCACTGCGAGGCAGCAATGCTAACCAATGTGCCACCCAGATGCCCATCCATTACCGTTTACTCCATATGCATGTTGAAAACTGCCCTAGAAAAATACATCAAAAGCTGTTTGGATTTAAACACTGCTAATTAAAGAAGCCACTATTCTCACTATCAAAGTCCTATGAAATTCAATGATGAATTAGTTCATTGAAGTACAAGAAAAATGTTACATTAGGAAATAAGTTGTTATTTTTCTGTCTCTTGGATAGTTGTTTGTTTTTAGAATTATACACCAACTTTTCAAACTGTACATGAAGATTTTTAGAAAAAAAATACCCTGACTGAAACAAGGTAGTCCTCAAAATGATAAAATGCAACCTAACCTAACTGAGGTTTATAGTAGTGGGCTTTGTAGTTATCCATCCAATACCAATCAATTCAGTAGAGGCCAGATGTGATTAAGGACTGTCCACAGATCTATGTCAAGCCATTCGAGTTAGTAAGCCAGACACTGTCGCTTTTCCTTCTGAAACAGAAATTACAAAGCAATACCCAAGCATGGTGACAGGGTTCACTCTCATACAGGATGGGATATCTTTCAAGCAATCATGTTAAACCGAGGTCCTTCACTAGCTAGAGACATTAAGGCTCCATTCAGAAGAGCCTGGGGTGTTAATGATGAATATACAGTCAAATCCAGAAACAAATTAAAATCTATGATAAAATGTACAGATCTAATATCTTGAGCATTTAAAATCTTTCACATTTTAACTAAATATATTATTGATTCTGGGATAAAGAAAACAAGACATCTCCACTCATTTCGCTTGCCTTCGCTGAATGGTTAGTGATAATACTTCCATGCAGTGCAGCAAGGTTTCCCCTTCTTTTCAATAAAAAAAAATATACTGAACTACCTGTCCAAGAAACCCTGATCATCTCTAAACATCATTCAGTAAAGGTAAGCCACTGTGGATCCTCCACTTCACGCTGTATTAAACTATGAAACATTCTGGCATCGTGCTTGTAGTCCTGGTAGGGCTAATAAACCAGTATTATTTAATTTGAGGTAAATCTCTGTTACCTGTACCCCAAGGGAGGCTTTAGTCTCCAGAATTATCGCAAGCAGTATCTGCCATCAAAAATGCTGCCAAGCGTTTTTCTATTATCCACCTGCCAATTCATTCCTGGCAATTACATTTAGCAATTTAACAGTAATTCGGGATTTTTTAACCAGGAAAGAAAGACTTTTTCAATTTAAATCCTCCATCTCAGAAAATTGAGATTGAGGATTTAAATAATGATTACAGCATGTGTAGAATAAATATCAATAATGTCTTCAATTTTCTTACCAATATGGCAATATGGTTGTAATCTTTACAGCTAAGTTACACACAGAAATTCACTAACAATTTCCAAATGTAAACCCATCCTTAGTCCCAAGTCACACAAAGGCCAGTACAATGGCTCCCAGAAGATATAAATAGGAGCTTTATTTAACTTATTTCAATACAAGTCAACTTTTTACACAAGAACGCAGGATATGATAATGTACATCCCACAACATTATATGAATGATCTCAACCTGGTGTCATCTTATTCTACAGCACTACATATACCACACTTACAGTTCAACAATTTCAATTATTTTATTCTTTAAAGGTGCTTGCAATCCTCCCGATGTTTTCTGCTCTAAACATTGAAAGTAATGTGGTGAATTATTACTTTCAGAAAATTACAGTGGAGTATGGATTAGAGGTCAGGGATGTTAATTTACTAACACTATTGTTCATGTACTGCAGCATCATCCCATGGCCAAATATCCATGTGCTTCAGCTAAATCTGAAAATAAACAGCCAAGATAAAAATACTGAAGATTTTGTGCAACTCTCTCATTGTTTTTCATAATTGAGAAAATACAATGTCATTATTCACTGAAACGATTCACATTATTTCAAAACTGAAATGTTTTGTTCAAAAGACAAGGTACAGTATATTAAGATTTACACATGGTTTTGTAAGCTAAAGGGTATTAGAAAATGCAATATATAATTAAAGATTCTTTTTAAAAATCACATATTGCTTTAGTTTGATGCCCAGATTGAGCAGCATTTTTGTTTAAGAGATTAACATTTATTAAATCAGGAAGGTGCATATTTTAACAGAAAACGTAGGAAGGCTGCAAACACATTTGAGAAACTGGAGTGTATGAACAGCATGAGAATATGTAAATCCCTTTCTTCTCACTTTTTCCTTATCATTTAAGGCAACCTGCTGATTCAGGTTGAATGAATCACAGGGAAGTATACATAAACAAAGAAAACAAACTTGCTTACAATAGCTAATATAATCATATGGATTCTCTAGCCTTAAATATGACAATTGGAATTTTGTTCAACATTTTAGATTTAACAGTGATGAAGTGAACACATGATGTAGCCCACTGCTAGCCATATTGTGCTTCACTATTAGTTAAATTCACCAAACCAACTGGTAAACGTCTTTATGATCATGGCTGTATTTCATGTTACAGAATTCAAATTACAGTATATATTAAAAACTCCTACTGGATCCTTCTAACAGAAATATTAAGGCATGCCAACAAGATGCATTAGGTTGAATATTCTTTCAGAAAAGTACACATTTGAATGCTACAATACACATGATTAGAAATAACATCGTTTGGAAAAAAGAAACTGAAAAATCCAAAGTATAAAAAAATATTAACTCCTAAGATATGAACAGAAAGATGAGACATTTAGCTCACAACCAAGGGGTTGCAGGTTCTGTTTATTTGCATGATTATTACCTGAGCAGATAACTGCACTTAAAGTTTAGGAGATATATATTCCATACATTAAAAAAAGCTTCATTTTCTTTTTTTGCAGCATGACAAACTGTTAACCACTTATCCATATAGTTTTGTAGTGTTATGCATTTCAGTGATGATTTTTCATTTTTCTCAAATTTTTCATTTTCAAGTCATACAGTTTTCATGCAAAACATACATAACTACATAACACTTGATGACATTTTCAATGGTTTATCAGATAGAGTATAAAAAATCTATTTATATTAAAGCCAGGCTTCCGCTATTTAAGAGCTGTCTTTATTGACATATATTGGTTGAGATGCCCTGACATTAATCATTAATCACCTGAGCAGACCACAGGAATGATATAATTAGATAAACACAGGGCTTTACATGATCTGCTTTCTCCTACAGTCCTGAACATCATGATACTCATCACAAAGGACAGAGAGCAACTGATGTCACAATTAGAAGACTACACTAAAGACAGCTTTTGTCTGACCTTTCTGTTCAAAACAATGAAAGGAAATAGTAAGACTAAATATTAGTAAAAAAAACAACATATGGCACACCATTTACAAAACAAACCTGTGGTTGAAGAGAAAAATAAACCATGTGTATTCAGTTTTGACATCTAATTTAAAAGATGCCTTAATTCTATGGAAAACAGAATTACCCTGCCTTCCCTGTGGAGCTTAACTTATAAATAACTTGTCACGAAAGTTCTGAAAAGAAAGAGAAAGAAAACCAGATACACACACATTACCTATGCATGGTACAAGGGGGAAACAGAGACTCAAGAAAGAGCTTTGGGTAGGAGTGAGGGGCTGCACCAGGTGAGAGGCTGAACAGGTTGGCACATTGGTCAATCAGGTAAAAGGTAGGAAAGGTGATCTCTGGAGAGATTAAAATTCATATCCAACCAGCCAGCTGCAGTTTCAACACAACGAGAGCTGCAAGACAACAAAACACATGTTTTACTCACATATTTAATAAAAGCAGCAGTTCATACAGTGGAAGAGTATACGCTTCATGACAAAGTAAAAAAAAAATCTTTGATTCTGGAGAACTGTTTGCAGTTGTATGTCATCACACCACCAATGCACTGCTATTTGTCTTGAAACAGATACTTTATTCTGATACCCTTACTTACTTTCAAATGAGAAATACAGAAATTTAAAAAGAAAACATTGTTACAAAAAAACCTATAATTATTACAAACTGAGTCTAAGCATCTGCTGTTTACAATAATGATTTCTTGCTTGTTAGAATAATACATTATTATTATTATTAGATTTGAATCTAATTAGAGTTTGAATTTACAGAGCTTCCTCAAATGTGATTATTAAGCTACTGTGTATATTTCTGAAGTTCTGAAAAAAGTTAGAAAAAATAAGAATGACAATTTATGTGCTAGATCTGGTCATGCTTGGCAGTATATGTCTTTACATCCCAACAAGTCTTGATTGCGTGCCATCAACATGGAATGTTTTTATCGATCCCAGCTGGCTGTACTTGGCAAAAACTTTGTCATGACTCATTTCATGGCCATCATTGCTAAATAGCATGTTTTCCTATGTGCTGTGGTTTAAGCAATTACACATAAGAGGCTAATCTATCACAAAATTTAAAAAACTAACCTATACTGTGAAATCCCAAACTGATTCCTCCATAAGAAGAACGATTAGGAACCTTCTCTACAACATCAAACACCAAGAGAGATTGAAAAAGACACTGTAGTTTCTTTTTTAAAAAACTGAAAGTCCATAACTATAACAAATACTCAGATTTTGGGGTCTGTTCAACACAAGCTGTTGAAATTCATTTAGATGCTATGGTAAATTTGTGATTTTTAAATAATTTTATTACAATATCTGCAGTAGAAAATTACAGCATTATAAACTTATGCATAATACTTAAATATTATGCAGAGGCTTGTCCCATCAAATAACGCAAACTTGAGTTTCCTATACTTTTTTTTGCATGTAAACGCATTCTACTGATCAAATTGACTTCCATAATGGAATTTTCCAAGATATTCATATGTATATTTCAAGGCATTTGCCAAGCAGTGCATGCTCCTATTTGTCATATGTAACTTCTGAATACATAAAGCAAGATATCTTAAGATTGACAGTGACAGGAGTCATTTAATCCTTGCATTTATATTGCATCTTTCATCCAGAATGACCCAAAAGCACATAAAATACGGAAGGGAACTCAATTCATCCACAGCTGAAGTGCAGAGATTGCATGCCAGCAGCTCCACTGTATAGCAGGCGAGTTGGAGAAGAGAGATATTCCTTCACCACTTGAATTTAGGAGAAACCTTAAACAGGCCAGATTGTGCATACCCACAAAAGAACTGCTCTAAGTTCACACCCCATATGTTGATGACTTACTCTGTGACTCTTCTGTTGCTGCCAACATTTGGTATTTATTCCTGAACCTCTAAATTCATGACATTCCCTTTAACTGCTCCCTAATGTAAGACAACATGAGGATTTTCAAAGAAATATTACTACAACACACCTCATTTTTATTTGCTCACAGTGGCACTGATCCAAACACACTTTTAGTGTTTGCATTTCATATTCAGAACACCCGGCCAATATTATGAATGCATAAAAATTGAAAAGAATTCTGTACATCAGAATGAATTGTTTCATGTATCTCATTTCCTTCAGCTCAGTGTATTATTTTTCCACAATTGATTACAATTGTCAGTTTCTTTGTAAGCATAACATTCAGGGAGTCATTTTTGGATCCTTGACTGTAATATCTTTTAAAAAAGAAATTGGAATTCACTTTTGGGCTGGTAATGCCTTTCAGCACCTTCCAATGATTTGTCTAAAAATCCTGTGAAATTATTTGTGCCAGATAGAAGTCCAGAATTATCCTTTTTAAAATGCAAAATTATAGTTTCTTTGATAGAAAAACTTCTGCTTGGTAGTACAGTAAGTACTTCGGTAGGTCTTGTGGTGTGGATTAAAAAAAAAAGCTAACAGCCCCCCCCCCCCGTTCTGAATTACTTAATGCCAATATGTTTATTAGCTTCTGCTCTGTGATTTATGCTTGTCTAGGAAGGCACTGGTATTTGTTTTCAAGAGTGATTTTGAAACTACATAGATACTTTAAAACACAAAAGCCTGGTAAAATGTAAAACACCCAGAACAAAGCAGAATAATGACAGGTATGTTTTGCAGATGAAACACTAGAAATAGAAGCATTTTGGACGAAACAAACCTTCTGTGTGGAGCTAGTATGTTCTCCCTTGTTTATATGAGTTTTCTTCTTGGTGATCTGGTTTCCTTCCAGATCACCAAGACATGCCTGCTGGTAGGTGAAGTGGTGTCTCTAAATGGCCCTTGGGTGTGCATGTCCAGGGTGTAACCCCACCTTATACCCAGTATATGCAAAGTTAAGACTCCAGCACTCCACAACCTTCTATTGGATGAAGTGGCTTTGGATAATGGGTGGATTTAATTCATTGCAAAAGTAAGCAGTATACTGTATGCTTAAACATAGCATACTTAAGTGCAACTTACAAAAATGCTAAATTCATCAAAATGAAAAGGATTGTTATACAAAACATCAGTTAAGTTTGCATTTACGCATGGTTTGTCTAAGCTTGTTGAATAAAGCCAGTTATACTTTCAAAGATCTCCTGCATACAATTGTTATTCAACATGTGATTCATTTAGAAACTTCAAAGATTTGGGGTTTAAGATACATCAGTTCCTTTCTCGTCAAACTTGACAACTCTCAAAATATCCTTATATAAAATATTTTTAAAAGTCTTATCATGTTTTGACAGCAATTATCTTATTAAACCCCTAATCTGTTTTAGTTGAACTGAACATTTTATGTCACTGATCATCTCTCATGGTTCTTGTACTGAAAATTCCATTAAAATACGGACAAAACACAGATTACCGCAGTGTATCATCTGAATTCAAGTGTTAGGGGGATTTGTGCCTGCTGGAAGGACATAAAAGCTTTTAGGCATCTCAAAGCAGATACAAAATACCTCAAACTTCCTTTACTTAGTGGATTATACATGTCATGACTGTATGCATTCTAACACCTATATCTGATACAGTAATGTTATTTGGAAATGTTAATCAAAGGAAGAGACTTTGATTTAAATGTTCACCTTTGGTAACTTTTATCTTCCTGCGCCAGTGCTTCTGTCTTCATAGATGGTGATTTCAACCTGAAGAACACATTGTTAAGGAAACATTTCACCTTGAGTACTGAAGCCTCTTAAATCATTTTAAAGAAATGAAACAAGTACAATGTGGTGATACAACATTGTATGCTTTTTCCTAAGTGCCTTCTTGAGTAAGCAGCTGACAATGCATTATATGAACACTGTCAAAGAACCGTTGTTTCATTCATAATTTAAAGTTGCTGTATCTGACCAGGTAGATAAGTGCTTAAATGTTACAAGTATCAAAAATAAAGTGCATGAAGTTTAATCTTCTACACTAACAGGTGATTATGATGAACTGCAATCACAGAAACAGAGTGATGGTGAACTACAGCACATGACAGATAGGTAGAGGAAAGGCAGGAAAGAAACAAGAGGGATATATTTAGCACTATAAATTCAAATCTGTATTCAGACACCCAAGCGTCTCTTCTCATCTGTGTGTCTCATGGAGGGCAAATTGGGGTATGCAAAAAGACAAATTCCTAACACAAGAAATTGGATATGGCCAATAAAGTTATCTTAAAGTGATCTTAAATGAACCTAGATTGGTCAGAGATATAACATAAAATTCATAATGAACTATAACTCAACATTGTCTAATTAAAGTAGGAACATATGTGTAAAAGAAGAAGTGTTTTTGTAGGCAAACTTTTCTCACATAAAAGCTCAGCAGCAGAAAGTAAAATGGTACACATGACAAACGACTGCTTTTATACTCAGCTCGGACCACTTACAAGAAGGAATGTCCTTAATGATCTTAAACAATCAATGAATGAATGAGAAATCCAGACGTGAGAAAACCAGAAGGGAACTGTGATCATAATGGAGTATTCTTTGAAGTGTACTTTTTAACTGTACAGGTAGAGTCATAAACAAAGGTTTACAATTTCAGGAAAGCAGAATATAAAGGAATGACCTTAAAGAAAGTAGAACAGGACAGGATGGATATGAAATCAGTGGAGAATGAATAGAAACAGTTAAAGAATGGAAACTTGAAATTTTACTTCTATTATGCTTGGAATTATGGAAACAATTGTAAGAACTAAACTAGATGAATTTACGTGTCGCCTTATGATTCTGACAGTCTGAACAGATATAGAAAAGTCAAGTCATATTTAATTTACTAGTTCTTAAAACAGGCAACAACAGTTGCTTGTTCAAAGAACTAGTAAATTAAATAAGACTTGAGAAGTAATCCTCATAAAGATGAATTCACAAATTGCAGATAGCAGGCATTCAAGGAAATGCATGTGCTTGGATGAAGAAATTGTTAATGCATAGAAAACAGTACGGATAAAAAATGTTAAAACTAGGGAGATGTCTGAGAGCCACTCTTCTTCCTAATTATATCAATTACTTAGATTTTAGTATGCTTCAATTTGACAAGATTGCTGATTATGAAAAATAAGAGGATTAGAAAACAGTAGAAGCTGCAAAGGAAATTCAAAAAGCCTTAAACAGAATACAAGATTGGCCAATCATCAGACATTTAATTTAGAAAAATGCAGAAAATAACATTCAGGCGGCAAAACAAATTTTATGACATAAAATGGGAAATGGGAAACAATGAGCTTAAAGAAGCTGCTTATGAAAAAGATTTCAGTGTCTACACCATTTAAATCTTCTAGACAGTGTGGAAACACAATAAGGTAAACAATGTTAGGATAAGTAAATAAAAGTGTAGAATGTAAAGATGCATTACAATTGTACAATGTATGTGTAAGACCTCATTGAAAAATACTGTATACAATTTTGATTACTGCATTACAAAAATATATTACTGCTACGTAGACAATCCAGATCCATTTCCCAGATTACAGAATGTCTTACTGACAAGATAAAAGTATTGAACATTTTAAGTTGTGAACAGAGAAGGCTTTTAGAGAACCTCAATCATGTATTCACAATTTTCAAAAGGCAGGGTGCAAAGTCATCCCAATGGATATCTTCAAAATCAACAGTGAAAAACAACCCAGAAGACAAGTGGAAACTATGACTTAGTGCATTCAAAATGGAAAACAGGAGGTACTTTTTGGTACCTGGGCTTCTTTCCACAAAACAGCTGGATGAATCCCCAGATGAATTACTTACTAGCAATTAAATAAGACAAATGGGCCAAATGACCCTCTATCCTAGGATTTGTAACCGTCCATATATAATTATGTTTCCTGCTGCTCTCAAGATTCTGAAACATCCTGATAGTGTGAATAGATACTGCATGAACTGGACAAAGTGAATCCTTCTTGTATTTCCAACTTGTTAATAAACAATAACAATACATTGTCAAAGATATTATCATGTTTGTAAATGTTGCCTTAAGTATCTAGGATAACACAATATGCCTGAATTTTTACATTTTTAGCACAGAAAATCTCAATATATCCAGTTTGTGCCTGATACCTGACAGAGCAAATAGAATATCAGAGATGAAACAAAACATACAGTACTCAGGGACTCTCTGCTTTACTCACTGGGTGAACATGGCCAGGACTGGCAACTGACAAAGATGTCCTCATGAATTACCCAGTTACCCATGAAGGCCAATAAAATAATACATCAGAAAACCTGGCCACAGCTGTGAACAGTTTCAGCAAAACTCAGCAAAGCCGGCACTACTGCAATTAATCTGGATGTCAAGTGTACCACACACTTGTAGAGAGATGGATTTAAAGAGCTTTCGTTGATTTTATGCAGATGAAACATATTAATTTTGTTTTCCTTCTATTACTACATGGTCCCCACTTCCCATTCTCCCTCTCCTTAGCAATCAAGCAACCAGAGGATCTCTGGTTTCCATTAAAATTGTTATCCCTATAACTTGGCTACACATAGTTCATCAGATCTCAAATAGCGAAGCATTACTTAACACTACATTCAATCTGACACATATTGTGTCTGTAATATAATTATCACGCAATCCCAAGAGTTGCTGTGAAGAAAGAAAATAATTTTAACAGAACTAGTTGAATTTTTTTTCTATTATTGCCATAAATGTAATCATCCATAATAAAAAACTGCAGGTGATTTTCAGCACATGTATTCACTATTTGAAAACCAAATCTTTTTTCCTGTGCTCTGGAAGGGCTTCCTGGTAAAATCTGTTGAGCTATATTGAGTCATTTGGTCTGCATCTTCCATTTGCGTTTCCATCTCACTGTTGAGTTGTTTCAAGATACTTTAGTGCTTCTGGATACACTTTTACCAGTTTCCCTTTACTTACAACTTCCCATATTTACCTTTTGAACATTAAGCAGTTTTAGTTTAAGATTACAAAATTCTTCGATTGAGGTCTTAATTAATTTAGCAGTCAGTTTTATGTATTGCATATTCACTTGCACAACGTTATTTACACAACTCTATATTGTAGCATATTCCTGTAAACAGTTGAAGACAAAACTGCACAGAAGACTATGCAGTACATTGTCTAAGCCGTCTAATCACAAAGGAGTGATCAAGGCTTTTGGTTCAAGCACTGGCACTGCCACTGACTCCCCATTTCCTACCCTGAGCCTGTTACTTAATTCTCTGTGCTCCATCCTTGGGATGAGACATAAAACATGTGCTTAGTAAAAATGGCAGCATCTGATGATGTGTATTTCACCCTTCATCTCTGTTTGTTGCTATGGATGAAACCATCTGCTAATTCTTAATTTTTACTAATAATGCTGAAAGAATTTGCTATGCATTTTCTATTCTGTCTCAGTTGCGTTTCTTTTGGCATGACAATGTGAATTACCCCCAGCTGGTCTCCCCACATCCCTACCCTCACAGAATGGAAACAATTTCTGCACACCAAACATGGCCAGAGCCAAAGATGAGTCACTCAAAATGACGCAGTGAGGTGCAGCATGAATGATCATGTTCTGACAAGGACTAGCTGCAGTGATAAATTAAAGGATACTACTCGCAGTCCTCGCTCTATAGGGTCTGTGAGAAGCAGGCCGCGGGGTGCGTAGATCTTGTCGTTCTGTTCTTGGATGTACTTGGCAATCTTCTTCAGAACCTTCAAGAGAAACGGAAATTTGTTAGAAACAGCCTTTCCATCTAGTCTACACTGTCCCTAATTATTGAGAGGAAATGGGAGATCTTCTCTTGGAGGCCTTTTATTTTTAGGTAACTTTACCCGACCACATTCATGTATCCCTATTTATTACATATCGTGTCGAGTTCCTCCAATGTGGATTTAATGCATCACTTACATTTATGTGTTCTTCTCACCTTACACGTAAGCGTTTTCTACATAAAACTGATGCTAGCTTGGCCTGTCAAGAACAAATTAATCTCCATATTTCTAAATGGCTGAAATGTAAAAAGTATGGGTCTGTACCTCCAGAAATTAATTACAACTACAGTCTAATTTGTCACTGCCTATAAAACAAAATGGAAAACCAGTGCTTGGTTCCTTAATAATACAATGTTCATGACATCAACCTTTTCAACTTTCAAAGGATTAGTGTTCTAAATCCACTTTTATTTAAAAAAAAACACACAGCTTCTACATCCACAGTAGTAAACAAATTCCCATATAGCAGATTTTTGATAGTGAAGTAAAAAGTCTAATGCATGCTATTCACTCACTTGTCATATTTTTATTAAAATAATAAAAGTGAACTTTATTTATTTTAAGAAATACTGCAATTAAGAATGTTAAGTATCTAGTACATGAAGGTAACCTGCTTTGAAAAATCAACACTAAAAAACATTTGTTTTAAAACTGCAGTTAGTGTACCTTGTTTAACTTTGAGTAAGTGGACACTAGTTTTTTATTCCTAGTCAGTTTTTTATTCCTTATAAACATATAGCGCTCTCTTTGAAATTAGTATGAAGGGTAACAGTGGCACTAAGGAAAGATCACTTATATTGATGCCAGTTTAGCATGCCATTAACTATACTCCTATTTTTGCATGAGCATAGGCTGGTCACAATCTGTTGTAGGTAAACATACCACATTTTTAATAACCCTTTAATTAATATGGTAAGTCAACTTAGAACAAGTAACTGATTACTTGATAACAATGGTGACCTCAGTAGTATCATGTATACAGCAGGTGTTTTAATGGAGCTATCCAAGTGATACATTAGTCACACTTACAATGCCAGTGCCCCACTCTGGATTTGAACACACAACACTCCAGATATAAGTCCAAATCCCTAATCATTACCCCTAAACTGCTGCATAATATTCATATATTGTCTGCACTGAAAAGTGTTTTTATCCCAACCCACGAAAGGGTCACAAAGTACATATTGTTAATATGCAAAGCTAGAAACACAAGTCATATCAGCACACATGTATACCAGAAGAAACATTATGCCAAACTTTTAAGTCACGGCTAGACCAAGATTGTAAGTATTAATTTTTCTCCTTTATAAATTAATCATTGTGTTAAGTCACCATTAAACAGATGGTGTCCAATAATACTCCATTTTCTCAAAGGAGCTATGAAATCACATTTGGATAAAATGCAAGGATGAAAATGTGGAGAAAAGAAGAAAAAAATAATCACAAAAGACTAAGCATCCAGATTAATTAAACCTTGGTTGAAAATGTTTATAAGGAAATCTGATGCTTCCAAAATCCAGATTTAGGTCTTAATTCTTGACACCCACGTCGTCAATATCCACCCACCTGCTAGTAATAGCCTTTTAAAGGTGGAGGGTTTTCAGTTACAGCAGCCTCTAAATTGCTTAATATTAGACCTCCATTAAGAATCCAGGCTGCAGTAATGCTGGTTATCTTTCCATCAGCATGTTGTCAATCATTTGAAACCAAGACGACATCTGGGAGGTAGCCAAGAGCAACGTCTGGACTCAGTGTTGTATTCCAGTGCACCTCCCACAACCTGACCGCCATGAGAGAAACGTGATAGGTCAGGTCTCTGCTAACAAGCCAATCACTGAAAGATCTTCGCATTGCCCAGACTGGATGACTACTCATGAATAAAGAGCTTCTGTGCCCAGCCTCTGGCAACTGGCACTGTGAGACCAGAACAATCTGTGTATCACCACTCCCTACGAAAGTTCATTCCAGTTTCAGCTTAAATGTCACCTTAAAATTTAATGAGGAGGACAATGGATTGTCAAGGTCCACGTTGCACATTAAATGTCTTGCTGGCAAAACGGTACACTCAAGCATCTGATTTCTTGACAGGATATTTTTAGTGAACATGGCTTCAAAAGAAAATAAAGCCCAGGTTTTTTTTATGCAGAACATTTAAATTTGTTTTATAAATTTAAGGTCCATCTATGAGTTTGAGACGCACGCTTTGGGTCTTACAATTCATCCAACAACTCACGGAGAAAACAAGAAATTACATACCATAATTTTCTAGGACTTTCATAACATTTTCTTATGGTGGCACATATCTAAAAAAGCTAATCGGTAAATCTATAAGTATTTGAAATAGAAACAGAAAGAAACAGAAACATCATTTTAATAAAATACGGCATCTACTGATCTATTTTCACAGTGGGAGACGTAAAATATTAGGAAAGGTTTTAAATAAATCTAAAAGAGGATCCAACAAAACAATTACATAACTACCATTATGACTACAATATAAATGTATGTAAAAAAATATATTTTTTAAAATAAATGCAGTTATTTTTGAACATATGACATATGTCAATTCATTATATTGACTAACATTTGTCTTTGGAGGTTATTCTTGCTGATGATTAATATTATAAAATGTTTCGGCAAAGGAGTTCCAAGGACCTGTGCCATTCCGCAGACCAGAAGGTGTGAAAGCTTCATTCATCACTAAACAGGACTCAGCACTACTGCTGACAAGTCCACCTGAGGTGATATTAATACCTCCTTATTCTGTCATTCCTATGAACATTATTGAGCCCTGGGCCTCGTGTGGTCATCATGCCTGCAATGAATAACTTTTTTAGCGAACGACAGTGTGCTGACTTCATCCAGCCTCCAACATACCAATGGGATGAAAGTATTGTTTTCTTGATAAACAGGGTAGATTAGTTCCTTTCTGTGTTCTCCCTTCTTGATTTTAACCAGGCTTGACATGATGTCATATGTATGATACGCTTCTTGGTTCATAACACAAAACTACTTCATGCTTTTTAAATCTCTGAAATTTGTGCAGTGGTAAATCTCTAGCACAGCTGCACCTACCTTTTCGTAATGTGTCTCTATGCAGAGGAAGATAGTGTAGGCTGTGAGGCAGGCCAGACAGCCCTCCAGGTATGACTGGCCTCCTAGTTTTTCTGCCTCAGCATACAGATTATTCAGTGTTCTTACTGTCTCCTCAAACTGCTGCTTGTCAATCTAAAAATCACACAAAGCACACATCAAAACATCACAACGGAAACAATGCATACACTGGAATGCAAGGAGTAAACTACATTTAGTAGAACCAAATCTGATCTACACTATATAAAGACTAAGATAAGGTTCATGGTTCCATCTTAAACCTTTTCTTTTATACTTATATTCAGGAATCCATTTTTAGACAAAATATGTTATATACTCCCATGCCTTTAATAAAAATGCTGATCTGTATGAAACATAAGAGAAGAGGAGCATTGAGATATGTTACATTTACTTTAATTTGATTACACTGAGAACCATATGAAAGTTAGGCATTTCACAACAAATGCCAACAAATACTTTTCTTGGGGGTAACAATACAGGTCAGATGACAGCAATTCAAGAATCAAAAAACAAGATGCTGTATTAAAATAATCCCACACTGGCTGTGAAATAATGAGGATGCCTTGGCAGTTTCTTCACTGCATGTTTTCACTTTATTCTTTGTGTTTTGGCAAAGCTGTTAAAATATTTTTAGGGGAGGGAGGAAGGGGCTTTACAGTGTACTGGCTTGCTTGTAAAGAAAAAAAACAGAGTTCTTATCAACAAAGAAGTGATTGTTTTACTGAAATTGATTCAAAGAGCATCATGGCACAGACACTGAAGAACACAAGGATAAAATAATCGCTTCCGCGCTTGCTTGGGAAATAAAAGCCTGGAAAATTAAAACCAGTAATTTTCTTTTGCTTCAAGTAATGCCAACATTTGGGATGAGACGCTGGCTAAAGGAATTGACATTTTAAGATATGAACCTTTGGGAGTGTTTTGACTGGGTGTTAGTTGTAGTCTCCTCTTTTGATCTGTGTGAACGCTGCTGCCGCAATTTAAGAGGAGCATTTCTGGAATCTACAAATCAGAAAGATGCACCAGTTTTCCTTGGCTTCTTAAGAACTCGGGGCTTTAACTGAATATTTGAATCCAGAATACTTACGAAGAATAAAGAAAAAATAAGTTTTCAAAGTGTACACAATGCCAGCAAATAATATAAAGTCTCTGCTCATAACTTATGTATAAAACAATCATAAAATAAAATTTTAATATTTCATCAAAACCATTCCATAACATTTAAATGATCACTAATAATCATAAATGTTAAATTATGATTTTCACAATGAGCTCCAAAGTCACAGCAAAGACTACTGCTTATTGATTAGGGTGCTGCGGTGGCTTTGTGGCTAAGGACTTGTGCCTGTGGCTGGAAGGTTGCAGGTTCATATCTTGTGGCCGGCAGAGGAATCCTACTCCGTTTTGCCCCAACTGCTCCAGGGGCGCCGTATAAATGGCTGACCCTGCACTCTGACCCCAAGCTTCTCTCCCTGTCTGTGTGTCTAATGGAGAGCAAGTTGGGGTTTGCAAAAAGACAAATTCTTAATACAAGAAATTGTATATGGCAAGTAAAGTGATCTTATCTTATATGGACTAAGTTTTGGGACATTTTGATATTGGTAAGAATGAGGCCTTTTCTAAAACTATCATGGCTACTTTAGTGTGTGAAAATGTAAACAAAATTAATATAGTTGCAAGAGTGTTAAGTGAATTTAATCTTTTCTATATTTATTACAGCTTCAATAGCGGTCATATAAACACTGCATATTTGCCTTTACTTCTGGCAACACATTTTGATGATGGAAGCTCCCCCTCTTGTTTAATAAAGCATATAAATACAAGAACATTATATCAAAGATTACAAAACTAAACAAAAACATGAATGCCAGCTGAAGAGACGAGTGGGTGTCAACTCAAGGTCCAGGATGTTGCAACCAAAAGTTTTTTAAATTTTAATCAAAAACTGGTTCCTATTACATCCTATTTGTAACTTGCACTTCTAGACTTTTGCCTGTGGTAGGTATTTTAAGTCATGTTATTGTTTTATCTATTCATTTTTAAATGTTTAAAAGAAGTCCTACAGTGGTGACATTCCTGCAAAGTGAAGAAAGTCCAGACTAGACAGCCTTCTGGTTTCCTCTCCATTTGTGCTCACAGGTATTAATCAAAACTCAAGCCATATTTTACCTTAATTAACTTAAAATACTGTAGATTCACTGTTCTTATAAGGAGCAGAAATAAGTTAAAAGATACAGGTTCAGCTAGTAATAGTCTTAAATGTGCAAACTGAACACAGAAAATAAAAAAAACATTGTATGGTTTTTAGTATGTTTAGACTTTTTGAGCTCATGATTAAAAAATTCATAGACTATTGTGCTTGTAAGCAGATGAGATCTCTGACGGCTGCCATGAATATTCTGACAGCCCTTGTTGCTTTTGCTGGACTTGTGCCAGTGGGTTTCAACTAAAAAATTTACTTCAGGTTAAAGTAATTTATTTCTACAAAGATCAAATGAGACAGGACAAAATAAAATAAATATTAAGGTAAAAATCTGCAAACACTAAACTTATCCAATGGAAAACCAATCTTTTAAGATTCCAAAGTACATTAGTTCTTAAGAGAGGACTTGAAAACACCATACTGTAAAATGACCTTAATATGTAATGTATAACGGTTAAGAATATTTTAGGATGGAGTCCTACATTTGGGAATGAAAAGTACTTGCAATGGTGTGTACAGGAAAAATAACCTTTTCTTAGAGAAACATGCAGCTATATTAATGCTTCCTGTTTGCAATACTGTTTTAGGTCTGTGTACAGTTCTCGGGGTTCATTTTTCTATGCTGTTGAACAGTACTTGTCAAACAACTCTAGAAACTCATCATTTAAACACTGAGCAGGTATCCCTGCAGCCCTTATGTGAACTTCCCCAATATTGCTATCCTTCTGGAGAGACCACCCACACAGGGGATGGGAACAGCATTTCATGTTTTATCTTTGCTAGTGCTGAAGAATACAGATCTTCTAATATTTAAGAATATGCACTGAGGACCTGCGTCTAACCCTTTTGATTCCTTTGAAGGCAGTTCTAAGCTTTTGCATTATCATATGTACTCATCAGATGGCACTGCCTTGGCTGGAATTACCAATCTCCAAGACATGGGAATTTTTCAATTTTGTCAGCTTTTCTTCTATTAATTGCTCAAGGTATATGAAAGTTTTTTGCTTTATCTATTTTAACTACATATTTTTAGAACTGTTTTCTGTTCCTTAGTTCCTGAAATATCCTGCTTTGTATATACTGTTGCCAAGATATTTAGCAAACAGTGCTCCATCTGTCCCTGACTTGTCCGATAAACTGGTGCTCCTTAATACAGCACTTTAAACAACTCTGAAAAGGTACTCATTTAATGATGTACAGATGTAGGTGGGTGTTACGCTGCATCAAGCAGTCCCATAATGAGCATTCTTGGTATTACAAAAGTTCAGTTAATTCAACTTATGAATTTATAGCCAGGGGCTATATCAGTGTGCAACTCACAACCAGTAGCTCACTAAAGCTAAACAGGTGTGAGCCTGGTCAGTACCTGGATGGGAGACCTCCTGAGAAAGCTAAGTTTGCTTATTAAAAATGGTGTTAGTGAGACCTGTAGGGAGCGCTCACACTTCAGTCTGTGTGGGTCCTAATGCCCCAGTATTGTGATGGGGACACTATACTATAACATGATGCCGTCCTTCAGATGATACATAAAACCAAGGTCCTTAATCTCCGTTTTCATAAAAAATGCCAGGGCACTTCTCGAAAAGAGTAGGGGTGTCCTGGACAAATGGCCTTTACCAATCATGGCATCCTAACAAACCCCATTTATGAATGGGCTTCATTACTCTGTTCGCATCCCCATTGAGAGTCAAAATGTGGTGAGCATAATGTGCATACTTTGGCTGCCGTTGCATCATCAAGGTGGGTGCTACAGATTGGTGGTTGGTTATTGAAGCAATACCAAAACAAAGGAAATTCTGAAATCCACCACATTATATAAACTCATATTTTAGTTAGAACATAAGAAAATAAAGGTTATAATCAAGAAGAGGCCATTTAGCACATCTAACCCATTTGGTAGTTAACTGATCCAAGGATCTCCTCCAGCCAATCCTTGAAAGAAGGTAGGGTATCGGCTTCAGAAACATGGCTGGGTAGCACTCCTATTCTTTCTGTGTCCGTGTGGTTTATCACTGGGTAATATACATTCCATCCAAGGTGACGTTCTGCCTTGAGCTCTGTACATACCGTGTTAGACTGTGGCTCAATGTGACTGTCTGAGGATAAAGTGGTTACTGTAAATTTAAGAATGGATGTTTATTTTTCTAAATGCCTTCTTGATTTGCAGTTTGTTTTACATACATGCTCATAACACAATGATTAGTGTTCTCCTACCCTGTTCTCCAGCTCAGTGGGAAACTTGGTCTGAAACTGGCACAGGGTCCCATTCGTGTAGTCCCTCTGGATGAACACCTTGGCAGCAATGGCTGCTTGTTGCCTCATGTCCTGCAGACTGTGAGTCTGAAAAAGCAAAAAGAGCAGTGAGCATCTTATAAGATGAGAGTTCATCTGATTAGTCAGTAGAGTGCAATGACGAGCGGCCACCAGAATACTGACGAGACATCCAAGAGCAATGCCAGTGTGAAGAAGAGGCACTGTAAGGATGTGAACTTAGAATATAAGCATAATGTATTTATTTTTAGGTATAGGAACTGTGAATTGCTTACTTTCTTTGCCTTTTGAAGGACAAACGAAGGAATTTAAATTCTTAAAAGTGTAACTGCTCGAACACTGAAACCATTCTTTGTTTGTGTACAGACTGAAATTCAATCCGTCTTTCAAGTGGCCTAGGCCAGATGGTAAACATAATAGATCTATCTTAATTATAAAACACACCTAGGCCAGGATTCCTAGGATTTCCTAGGATTAGGTCTATGGGCTATACTAGAGATGAACTGGATTTTCATATTGTTTGCCATCTCCTTCCCATTACGAAAAAAAAGGCTCTTCATACAGTTTCGCAGTCTCATTCTTCTCTGTACATTCAATATTTTGACTTTTTGTGGAGCACTCTCTAACTTTGTACTGAAGGAATTACATACACCACTTAAAAGCTAGTGATGTACAAATTGATTGAAATTAATCAATTTCACCAATAAAATTGTTTAATTTACATATACTTGTATCAGAGAACAGAACTGAAGATCTTTTTGTAGGTTTATTCTATTATTGGTCATGCCTCTACTTATCAAGTACTTAATCTTTTTAAAGTTCTTGCCAAATACTTTGATTAATTTATCATAGTTATACTAGAGCCAGACTCCATGTTCACTATATGCTTTCTAAGTTTCTATGTTTAATGAAATTGCTGTGAAAAAATGCAGACTTGAAACGAGTCTCTGTAAAGAAGTCAGTAGATTAAAAAAATTGCCAGGCAACTACTTGGTACTCTCTCACTGTTTGTTTACAAGGGGGAATGCAAAGAAGAAAAATTCAACCACCCAGCCTTTCTGCTCATTAGTGCAGTCATCTTGTAACCGTGTTATTGTCAAGATTAAAGTTTTCATGCTTGTTCTCTTGTAATCAGTGGTCTTTTTGAAGAAGACAGCTTACCATACAAACACAAGATCCACAGCTAGGTACAACAAAGGACAATTCGCTTACATTGCACCCAAACAGCCTCAAGCACTTACAACCCAGAAACTATACCGCAATCCTAAATTCTAAAAGGGGGCTGCTAAAATAAAACTTTTAACAATTGATTTAAAAAGCCTAAAAAACTGCAGGGATGTGTTGTGTACTTATAGAACAGAATATTTAATCTCCACCACTTAACACATTCTGCGGGTATTCAGATAATAACATAGTCCAGTGTTATTTGGAATGTGGGGTTCTTCCTAATGTAATCTCTCCATAAACCTAACTTTTCTGATTGAACATGCTTAAGGAATTTCAAAGGTTGGTTAAAGCTGATGATTTCCAAAATGCCTCCTTCTTTTGTAATCTTTCATGTGCAATTCAACAAAATGGAATATCGCTGGGGGACAGTACAAGAGACTATAAATATATAAATAAAGCTGTATACACCTTAACTACTTCCTAGCAAAAAAAAACGGCTTCATATTACAATGAGTAAGAGGTTACATCTGACTAACAGTAGAGTAGGGAGGAAATCTAAGCTAAATCAACACAAATACTCAGAAAAACCATGATCCCATCACAGCAAATCTTCTAATGTCTGGCCATAGGGAGCTACAGTTACCAGGAAACTAGAAGGAGCACTGAACAGCCACTGACTCACAAAGCAATTCAAGACTCAACACTGTCTGGTCTTTGCACTGACGCATACAAAGGAATACCTAGCGAAGCCAGCTCCTGTTCGGGAGCTGTTAAACTAGACGAGGGTTCCATTTAGAGCACAGGTTGGATCCTCAGATCCAGAGATCACAAGTTTCAAATTTGGCCTATGGATTCCTCAATAGATTTTCAAGGATTATTTCAACCTTAATCATTGAACTGAATTTCAATGACAAAGTTATGCCTACAAGGTTAAGTTGGTTTGAATTCAAGCAAGGTTTCCATGATTTTCAGCATAGCACCAACTCTCTAATTAAAAAGAATCCATTCACATCCAGATGCCCAGTAAAGATTACAGCAGGGATCCATTTCTTACAACTTGCCCACTGAGGTCAATTCTTCAAAGGACAGTTTAGGTACTAAAACCCAGAGATCCTTGGTTCAAAATTTGAACAACATAATCTGATTTACCACTTCACTCAGGATTCGCCAAAACAGCAGCACACAACTGGGGTTGGGTGGATTGGGCTTTCCACATAACATGCAAGTCCTGAAGCTTTGTCACCCAAAGTAGGCTCCACAGCTGAAACACTGTGTTTTCTTTCTTCTCTTTTCAGCATGGAATAAACCTTTAGTTGTTGCTTTGCAGTCCTGTAGCTTGCCAAGCACCTGAGAAATCAATGTTATTTTAGCAATTTGCATCCGTAAAACAACCAGATGCCTCTCTGACACTATAGGTTCACAGTTTTAATAAGAATTAGATGACCTGACAAGTGCCCTCTAAAGAGGATACAGGCACCATCTTCAATACTCCTGTACTAAGTAGGATGAAGTGATTAACTGCAATTAATAACTTCCAAAAATGAGGAAACATTTTTTTTAAAAGGTCAAGACCTTATCAAGCAAATCTCTCTTAAATATTTCAATCAGACAATTTTTGAAATAGCTTAAGTAGGTAGCTGCGTCAGCATGTGTAGGCTGCAAAGGAACAAGTAAAGGTTTATTCCATGCTGTAAAGAGCAGAAAATAAACAACGTTTCAGCTGTGGAGCCTTCTTTAGGTGTCAAATTATGGAATGCTCATTTATGCTGAAGTCCAAAACTCACTACAAACCTGAATGACACAATAATGTGATACAGTAGATTAACAATAGCACCAGTTGACCCAAGTACTGGAAAGATTGCAAACATAAGCAGGCCATTTGATCTAGCTAAGGATATCACGCAGCTTTTTCTTGAAAAAAAAAAACAGAACACTGGCTAAGACAATATGGCTGGTAGCTTGAAATTCACACAATCCTTTGTGCAAAGTAATTGCACATGTTCTCAGTTTAACATACACTTTGCTTTAGTTTCCATTTGTTCCCCATGGTTCGTCTTTTACTGTTGATTCTGACTAAATCCATAAGGTTGACTTTGTGGAAGAGTTTTGAGGAACTCTTTTCAAGGCTAAAAAGAATCGAGATATTTTATCTTGTCTCCTTAAGACATTCCTTTGATCTCAGAAATGTTCCTAGCTGCTCTTCTCTAAATGGATTCTGAAGCAGCAAGATCCTTTTTTTGCACTGTGAGGACCAAAACTGAACACAATATTTTAAAAGGAAAGACTTTCATCTCTGTAACCTAAAACGGGCTTTGAATTCTACTGCATGATGCCACGTCACTGTAACTGTTTATTTTTACAAAAATAAAACAATATCAACAATGGTGCTTTTATCCAAGTATGTACTGGAAAAGCCTTACAAAGAGACTTTAAGAAAGCATACAATGTGTCAGTGTATTGAGTTAAGATCTAGTACATCTAATTTTACATGTCTGAAGACTGGAATTACATTTTATCTAAAAACAGGCAAAGAATTTAAGAGTTTTTCCTCTAATACAATTCCAGCGTTGAAATTCGCAGCACACATTTAAAACCACATTTAGTAGAATCCATACATTTACAGTACATGCCCCCCTGTAGCGTTTCTACATTGTGCGTAATCTAAGCCTGCAATCATGACACTTTCAAACAGTACTTTGAGAATATATTCTCAAATATTTCAGATATTGAGAATCTGCGCAAAACCCATCCCAACTGATTAAGCTACAAAATATTGTTAAATGTAAATAATCTATTAGATTTTCCAAGAAAATACGAAGATTCTCAAATGTGTAAGTATTCAAAATATTTTCTATGATAAACGGAAATGAAT